CCCATTCCTATACGTTAGCTGAAGTCATTAATCACACTAGGTGAGAGTCTCAATCCCATCAGTATCCCTTTCGATTGCAACTGGAAAAACTTTCTGTAATTGTGGTGAGAGCTGTCTACTAGCCAAATTTACGTCAATATTTAAGTTCCCAAGATTTGTCGTGGGAAACAACCAATCGGAAGACCGTGTTCGTTTGTTTACGTATCCATAGTAATGTACATGAAAACATATATAAATATGCGTTGATTTCCTTAATAAATGATCTGTTGCCCGACTCTTGCCTTCTGTCGTTACATAATGACCTCTCATTATTATCCTAAAACCAAAAATGAAGGCTAGTATCCAGCATGTTTAACTGGATACTAACTGCTGTGGTGAGTTTCTTGCAGATTATATTGCTAAAAACATTGTTTGCGGTAAACTAAGTAACGTTTTATGACCCATTTTCATACTTTTGTGAGTAGCCCACCATATCGACCGAATGTAACGCAACACTCGGTTGTTACGCTCATTTTCAATAAATTCAAACAATGATCGTGCCTAGGATTACGCCATATAAACTGTTTTAACTTATGCAGAGTGTGTTTACGGTCAATATTTCATCATCTTCCCTTGTATATATATCTTGTGTGAGTGAAAAATTTTAAACATGTTTACTCCATGTGTGCATCATTATCATATTGATGATGCCTGTCAACTGGAGCCCCTCATGTGCATAAAGTGGAAATAGATTATTGTAAGACGCATTTTATTGTTTTATGAGGGAATTGACTTCAAGCTTTAATTATTTTCCCAGGTATCTGTAATCCATCCAACGCATACTTGGGTTTTTTGTTAATGCGAAGTCACTATCTCTGTATTACTTGATGTGTTCCGTTGAATCACTAGTTATCAGATTTTTCCCACAAACTAAAGATGAAATAACAGCAACCATGTTATTTAACCGTAAATCATGTAATTTAAATATATAACTTAAATAATACTTATCCATGCCTATACAACTCGTGTGTCCTACATTTGTAGGAATAAATATTTACCTTATTATATTATCATTAGTAACTATACTTACTAATCGTATGTGTAATTTATCGAATTAAAACATTAAACTATACACAAGAACGAAGCATCGAGTACTCTACGAAATAACTCTTTTCAAATCGCCTCCAAACTAGGTAACTGGAGCTTGTTTTTCACGTGGGAGCTTATGTAATAAGCTATTATCCGTATATCACTAACGTGACATAAACGAAACAAGTTTAAATGCATTACAAATGAAATGGCAGAACGTTACCATATAGCAAAGACTGCTTGTTTTAGCAAGTGATATCGGAAATAGATTTCCATGAATATTCTAACGCCTGATACTACTCTGTTGTCGTGGCAAATTGTTTTCACACCAACACGTTCTCTTGGGGCCTCTATCAATCTGTGAACACCCAACCAAAATACCAAACTCACAGTCCAAAATACAAAACATACTTTGGGACCAAATCGCAGTAGCAACCACCAGCGCACTGAGGCAGTGTGTGTTTATCATCATTTGAACAGAGCTAGCCAGAGACCTAATGTTGTGATGACCAGTTTCATCCAGGATCATGACAGCAAGATTCACCTGAAAAGGGAGGGAGGTCACAATTATCCAATGCTACGCACAGTGCTGCATACAACGCGGGACATGAGAAGAAGAAAAATTTTCACAGACAACTACAAAAAGTAATGGACAACATCCCGAATATTGATATAAAAATCCTTATGAGCGAGATGAATGCCAGACTGAGAGTAGACGATATGGGAAGAGAACTCATCATCGGTCAAGAGGCTCTAAGAGAAATAAGTGAGAATGGAAAACTATTCGCAGACTTCTGCGCCTTCGATGATCTGGTAATCGGAGGGAGCGTGTAGAAGTACAAGGATATAGACAAAGCAACATGGATTTCACCTGAGGGACATACCACAAATCGGATAGATTTCATTCCAATGCTGCTCAAGGAAGTGGCGTCGTAGTCTGATATATAGAAAGTCGAGAAGGGGAGTATATGTGCGCTCAGACCATCATCTAGTTCAAGGAGCCTTCAAAGTGAAGCTAACTGAAAAAACTACAAAATATACCTTCATTACAGACCAGAGCACAGTCAAATACACTACGTGGTATCACTGATAAAACCTTTGTGGAAGAACATTGGGACCTTTTGAAGGTGTGTTCAAGGAAACGCGCACAACAGTTCTAGGAAGAAGGAGGAGACAAAAAAGTAATAGCTCTCAACGGACACCTAACTGGCAGCTAATCGAGGCGAGGAGGGGGGTGATAGAAAAGGTGACCCAATGCAAAGATGGACAACAGAAGGAGGAGCTGAGTTCAATGTACACTCCACTGAATAAAGGAGTGAAGAAGAGTGCTAGGAAGGACAAAAGAAAATTCTACGACACACTGGCTGGCAGCTGAAGCAAAACAGGTAGGTCACAGGTAAAAGAGATCTCAGGTCATTATATCAGATAACCAAATGATGAAGCCAATAAAAGATGCTCAAGGGAACCTAATCACCAAGGAGGATGAACAAATAAAACGACGGGCTGATCATTTCAAAGGACTCCTGAATAGACCACCACCTGCAAATCACCCAGAAATACCACTACAGCCAACAGCACGCACTGAACTGCCTGCTAGTGGACACCAATCCTCCAGTGAAAGCAGGAGTCCTGAATACGATCAAGCTACTGAATGCCAGCCAGGAAGGTAGCGGGGCCAGATGTAATTCCCCCAACTCGAAGCACTGAAAACGGACTCAGAGACTGCGGCAGATGTGCTCACACCATTGGTGCGGGAGGTTTGGAGAGAAGGAAAGTTATCTACCCGGAGATTGGAAGAAAGACTACCTTGTCAGGTTCTCAAAGAAAGGTGACTTACGCCTATGCAATAAATGGCACGGAATCATGCTGTCGGCCGCGTCAAATAAAACGCTAAGTGGCGTCATCTCGGAGAGAATAACAGATGCACTGAATGCAGAAACCACCATCCACCAGAACAAGCTGGATCCAGAAAAGCCAAATCTTGTACAAATAAAACGGCAACTCTACGCACTATCATCGAACAAAGCACAGAATGGCAGACAAACATCGCACTACCTCAACTTCGTCAACTTCAAAAAGGCTTTGGAAAGCATTGACCGAGAAGTAATTTGGAAACTCATTTAACACTGTGGCGTGTAATGTCCAAGTATTTATCAATTTCATTCGACACCTGTATGACCTGAAATTAATAGTGTTCTCTGAGATGGTTGGTTTAGTTGCGGAGCTTTCTTATATGACAATGCTACGTGTCAGATGATTCACAACAAAAAGTTCTAGCAAAGCGTTTGAAGTTAATGTAAAAGTACGACAAGGTTGTTAGCCTACCAAGACTAATGTTATTCCTAACTGTGGTGTACTGGATTGTGTGTCAGACTGTGCACTGGGGGCATGAAGACAAGAATATTCTGGACCAACACGGTGACTAGTGTCATGCAAACTTGAAGACTTACAGGTGAAAATCAAGAAACTGTCTGAAGAGGCGGCAGCGGAGACAGGACTCCATGTGAACACTGAAAAGATGGAGGCGATGAAGATAGTTAACCATCACCAACAGCAGCAGCAAACAGCACCAATCACCATCAACGGGTGGAATTTGACAGAGGTTACTTCCTTCAATTATCTAGGAAGCATCGTTTCAACTACAGGCTGCTGGAATGGATGAAGATGTCAAGGCTGACCGAAATCGGAAAGGCAAGACATGGCTTCATCAACATGAAGCCAGTTTGGAAATCTTCTGCATTTTCCCGGCATGAAGAACAAGATTTGGGTTTTCAGCACAAATGCGAAGTCAGTCAGTTGTTGCTTCTATACGGGTCAGAAACTTGGCCAAAGAGTCACGAAAAGCATTTCCAACAGGTCGCAAATTTTTATCTTCAGCTGCCACCTAATCTATCTTCCTACCAAAGATTAAATGCCAGACAGAAAGCATTAGCAACGAGAAATTCAGGCTATGAACAAACCAACGAACAGCCGATTGTTCAACAAATATGTAGGAGAAAATGGGGATGGATCTGGCATACATGAGGAGGCCGTCCAATGACTTCGCGCGCGATGCAGCTCATCGCTCAAGTGGAATCCCAGCGGGGAGCAAAGAGTGGGTCGTTGGTGTGAGTGTGACACGGAGGAGAGCAGGAGATGAGGGGTTATGGACAGCTGTGAGGCCAGCCAAAGAGTACGGCAGACAATAGGACAAAGTGGAGGTGTCTTGTTGGAGCCTTATGTTCCACTTTTTTTATATTTACAGCTTGATGCCACACCGTATTTTCAGTACAATTGTGGAATTTTCAGCATGGATATCGGTAGCCCAAATTTTGCAGGCCGACCATAGATATCGGGTGTGCGTCGGCAGGGGATCGAACCCCGGACCATGTGCATGGTCGGCGAGAGTCCTAACCACTGTGCCACCGACGCAGGAACCCAAGGGAATAATAATAAACCAGCACAGTAGTGATAAACTGATGCGCCTAAGGCTTCTGACTACACGTTCATAAAGATTCGAGCAAATTGTGGCTTTAGAATTGACGCTCCTTACAACACTGAACGCAGACCATATAGAATTTGCACAAAACGTTAATAAATCGGTGGCACAGTGGTTAGGACTCTCGCCGACCATGCATATGGTCCGGGGTTCGATCCCCTGCCGGCGCACACCCGATATCTATGGTCAGCCTGAATTTGGGCTACCGATATCCATGCTGAAAATTCCACACTTGTACTGAAAATACAGTGTGGGATCAAGCTGTAAATCAAAATCAAAATAAATAAAAAAATAAAGCATTCCATTCATACAAAGAGAATACCACACAAGAAAATGGTGAAAAATTTTATGTGATCATGCATTATCATGTCATTTAAAGCCCATCCGAGTTCATCGCACATTGTATGGATTCGCCAAGGGCATCAGTCCGTTCATTAGGTAATTTCGTTCTAGGCTGCTATAGTGTAGAGTCACCCATTGTCTTTCAATCTCTGTTACTGTACTGGAAATTTCTTATTCATAATATCACCACGGGATCTGTCGTCTTAGGAAGCAAAATGAAGAGAGGTTACATTTAAGTATTTTACTGAGGGAGATTTAAAGTTGCGTCGCAACGTGTTGTTTCAGTTGCCAGGTTGGTTTTTTTAATGCTTCAGAAGCTGGGATTATGTATTGTTTTGATAAAAGGTAGTAAAAGCTAGTAATTTTAGAATTTGCCTCGTCACATAATTCTTAATTATAACTCTCTGAAAAGTATAACTTCGGATATACTTTACCAACATGAAATTATTATCATTCTTAAGAATTCCTGTTGAATTCTCTCAGAATAATTCTTTTTTAGTCTCAATGAAACGAATTTTTTGTTTCTTCACGAACATAGACCAGACTTTAGAGATTTCATTTATTCATCTTATGTTCTTATTCTATACATGTACTTAACCTGAAGGGCTGTTAGTACTGCCAAATGTTTAAGAAAAATATTAGTTATGACTTTGTGTAATACTGCATAAACTGGTTGATGGGTGACAAGGGGTGAAAAGGTTACTAGCGAAAGAATTCGAGCTGTTAATAACTGTGGTCGCTCAATATTCGTATGTTGAGATTTTGGTTGGTTAGTGGCTTTTTGTAATATTCATGCCAGTTGTCCATTATTTGTTTAGTTAGCTGGCCGGACTGAGTCTAATATACTTATTGATTGCTTCTCTCGGGATAGTTATTCTGTAGAATGCATAGTGCTATTTTCTGGATAACATTCAACTTTCCTTATTTTAAATGACATTCTAAACTGGCTAAAAATGCACTCAGTTAGATGTGCTATTGTAGTGAGTTTTTTATTAGATTTATCTTTTGGGCCTTAATTTTGATTGGAGATGTCATTGTTTTAACACGAGGATCTTGAAAACCCAACTGACTTACAATTTTTGACTCATAAATACTACTACTGTTATATCAAAGTAGGATATTTAAGTTGTTCAGAGGTGTTTGAGTCGTGCCACAACTGGGTGTGAAGGTGCTTGCTGTTCACGATGGTTTGAAAATAAAGATATTACATGACTGTGTAATTGATTTGCTTCAACTATGGCCTATTGTATGTTAGTGGTTGTTAAATATCTGCTTTTTGAGCTTAGGTTTATGCTGTTCTTCCTCTTTTTGGAACTTGGTGCAAGAAGGAAGAATAATGGCATGGATCCATTTCTGCTTATAACTAGGCTCATTTTCAAAGAATATGACTGAGTTTCAGCGTAGAAATTTACACAAAAGAACAGCAGTCTAAGTCGCCACACTCCATGTAGCACACAAGGAGAAAAGAATTAAAAAAAAACTCTAATGGGCAGAATTGTGCGGGAGGCAAAATGGTAGCATGGTAAAAAATGAGGGTTTGATGGGTCCAGGAGATCACGAAGAGTGAGTACATCTGCGTCATTAAGAACGACTTTGATTCCCATCAGCAATAATCTGCAGCCATTGCGGTTTAGCATCGTGAAGACCCCAACCAGTCAGTCTACACCTCCCAAACCAACAATCAAAGACTTCATTGAATGATGCTAGGTCCTGATTTGAATATTCCTAACTCTTTCCCAGATTAATCCTGAGTTAGCTAACATTGCTCGTTAATGAAGGTAGTGACGTAGGATGCTCAACATGTGCCTTAGCCGTCATAATCGATGCAACTTCATAAGCTCTTCGTCTGTCGTCCCTTTCTTGGTATCACATTGAGCCTTCATTAATAAAAGCGGAAAAAACGCACGTGATAGTAGTAGTTGGCAACAAATATATGTTGTTATGAGTAGCTGAGGCTGTTAAAGTTCAGCCGTAAGTACGTCATGAGTAGTAGCATGCAGTGAGTACCAAAGAGGCATTTAAATGCGCAAAAATAGATATTTGTTTGGTCTAAGTATAGTGATTTGGAATGGTAAATTGAACTGATGCGTTTCCAGGGTTACTTCAGTGTTGAATAGTGTGCATACTAACATAATGATGTGCATACAATCAGCTGGCATATAGCAGTGTTACAGCTAATTTGTATTTCGACAGCCTAAATGTGATAATAGATAGTCTGTAAGTATGGCAAGTGCTTTACTCCGTCCATGTGCAAAGTGTTGTCGTTGGTTTGACTGAAACTTGTACTTGCACTCACCCTAGCAGGTGAACCATTAAAAGCAGTTGGTAAGTTTGTGTATCTAGGTAGTATGCTGAGGGTGTGATGGGTAAGATTACTAGTTGTGGCGTGTGCCAACCTGGTTTACTTTCTATGCTATCACAACGTTAATCCGGAGATGCATGCAATTTTGCTCCGTCTGCGGAAACGGACCCGTCTGAGCTGGGGATGTGTAGCGACTCTACTTCTTCGACCGTTACTGTATCCAGTGGCATCATTGTGTAGGTACTTATGTGGTTCAACTGGGTGTGTTGGGATATAGTGTAAATCCTCCCCCATTAAGTATTGTCATCTTGGGACACTCACTTTGATGTTTTGGACATGTACTACAAATTTCGTCTCAGTGGCTTTCATACTGTTAACCGTTTTCTTACCCTGGAACTAGGTGGAAAAGACGGGTGCGGGGCAGTCATGCCATAACGTTACGCCGTCGGTGGGAGGATAGTTGTGCTGGGTTAGTTGATGCTGGTGCGTCAAGACTCCCATGGTGGACTGTAATTGGTCATCAGAATCAGTAATTCAAGGCGTTATGAGAAATGATTGAGGATCGAAGTCAGTGACCAACATGCTACAGTCTCCTACGTTTTCATCTTTTTGTAAATAACATGTAGTAATTAACTGTCTTTTGAATGTTTTTGATAAGTATGCCTCCTTTTTTAATGGTGCTGCCACTCAGTTATTCTATTCCTGTTTTACTTCTATTTTTTTTCTGTGGTGTTGTACGTCTTGGTACCCATATTGTACCAAGTTTATTTCAAATAAATAAAGAAAACTGATAGCTTCTATTTTCACGTGGTCACCAGACTTGCATATCGGAATAAACCAGTGGACTATGCTGGCTCGGATGAACGTTTCTTCAGTTTCAGTCATGCTGGAAAGGTCACCTGCATTAACCTAAAACTATAAGTTTCCATCATAGTACAGGCTACTTACATTATGATGGGGTTGGAGGGTAAAGTCGTACACCGAAGAGGAAGTTTTGGTGAGAGTCGAGTGTTTTCTCCAGACGACTAGCAAGTCGACGTACGAGAAGGATAGGTCTGTGATAATTGCTGAAATATCTGATCTACTACTTCGTGAAGTTCAGATGACCTATAGCTGTACTACATTTACCTGTCTTTCAACTTCAGCCTAAAAGGTAGACAGACATTAATCCTACTTAAGTCAATGTCCCAGAAGCGCACTAATCTGAAATAAATGCAAAGCAGCAGGACCTGGTGGTTTAGTTCCAGAAATTTTTAAAGGATGGTAGTGTTGAAATATTAACTAGGTGTTGTAAGATACTAGTTGGTATGTGGGGATCCATAATAGTTTCATCCGACTTCTGTTCATTCCAACTTGTAAGCAAGGAAACATCTGATAACCGCAGGGTAATCAGCTGAACTAATGCACTCTCTAAAGCTGTAGTTCCCATTGCCATACATGGGTTACGGGGGTAGGAGAAAAACAGTCAGGTTTCAAGCCTTTACAAGGGCACATTGATCAAATGTTCACTCCAAAAGATTCTGATACACTGCTGTAGTTACTCCCTTCTGACACATGCCCTAATTCTCTACATGAAGGCAAGATTGAACTCTTTCTATCGTGAGGTTGTGGCAATATCTGACTGTAAAGCGGAATCATAAAATTATGTTATTTTAGTAAAAACTACTTAAAACCATGTAGCTGTATAAGGGCTTATAAGGAGTTACAGGTAAAGTGATGATAATAGGCAATTCATGTCAAAGATCTTTTCAGTTTTATTGTAGACGTCCTGATGGGTGTAACTGTGGTTGGCATGACATAGATCTTTGAAGATCTCAACTTTCTGTAGAAACCGAGTAGGGAGGTGTGGACTACCTGACTGGTATGCTCGAAACACCAAGGATGAATTGCTGGGGACTCCTATTGATGTTTCAGAAAAGCGTCATTTTCCACTTTCTTGGAAGCTTACTTAATTTTCATCTAGTTATCCTCTTCCCTTTAATGAACATATTTCTTTATGAGAGTATCTTTGCATTTCTGTTTCCTGATCGTGTGCTCTATCAAAGTGTAACGAATGAACTTCTACGTCATTTCAAAGGTTAAACGTCATTTAGTTCATATCTATTGTCGAAGTTAAGGGAGTCATAGGTAATGATTTGTTTTATCTGTAAATATTTTGAAGATGATATTTAATTGTTTGCCAAAACATGGCATCAGCCAATAAAATACACAACAGTTAGCCTAAACCAGCCATTCACGTAGGGAAGTGTAGACTGCTTGGCTGGTTAAGGTCCTCGGGATAGTGAGAACCACTGAAGGCTGGAGACAATTGGTGCTATGGCTCAAAGTCATCGTTCTCAATGATGGCGCAGATGCATTCACTCTTTGTGGTGATTTCTCATATCCAATAAAACTCTATTGTTCTTCCATATTACTACTATTCTTTTTCCGTCACTCACACTTCTGTTTATTATCTGTCTTTACTCTGTTCTCTTGCTTTTTGTGGTGTATGGAGGGAGAGTGACAAGTTGAACTTGTGCACATCTGTGCAAAGTTTTATGTTGGAACCAGTTAGTCAGTCAACTGGTTCTATGGCGATATCCTTGTGGAATTTAAGATAAACCATTTTAGAATAAACTGCCTTGGCTACTTGGAGTTGTTTAGTGTTATATTGCATAGGAGATGGCCATCACTAAAGTAGTTCTCAAAATCTTTTAGTAAACAGGAGTATGTAAATCGTGTAATTTTGTAAGATTGTGTGGTGGTTTTAGTGCTTAATCGTTTTACATTATTTTTCAGATGATAAATGGACTTTTTGGTAGAAATGGACGATGAGTTAGATTATGTAAGTTCGATTTCTTTCTTGAAGTATCCTACCACTATGCGGAAATTCTGAATGACTATACCTGTAATTCAGTTATTAGAATAGTTTTTTCACAGTCTTCCCGGTAATACTGTATTGTATTATCTTTCCTCCTCACTCCTTATTAAATTTCTACCTCTTATTACCACTGTCATTAACTTGACTCTTGTTGAATTTTAAGTTGAATTCTACTCATTCTCTTCAATTATATTGTCAGCCAAGCCACTTATTTAATTTTATTACAGTTTTCACCTGATTAACGCTTTCTACATTACGTAATTTGCCATCTAAAAAATCTACAATTCTAATGACATATCTTTGGAAATATTCCTTTTGTTGCTAAGAAAATTTGCTATATACACATTCTCGCCGTATTCGTCAATGAAGCTTTGTGGGAAGCATTTCTCAAGCAGCTTTAGTTCACTGTCTAATTTGTCAGCTGAGCATATTCTTTTCGTTCTGGAAAAAAGGGTTTTCACCAGTGTTCGTTTGTAACTGACTGGGCAGAAGCTGTGAAAGTTTAGGTAGAGACCGCTCCACATATCCTCACGATATATTGATCCCTACAAACCAATATTTGAAATTTATTTATTTTATTTATTTGTTATTCAGAATGAAAGCGAATCACCAATAACTGTGATGAAGCGTACCGGAGATACAAAATCTTCACAACCACACGTTAAGTCATTACAACATTCAAATGAAAAAACCCGTCATGTTGTTGTTTCACCTCGAGAAGAAGGCGAAGCTTATTCAGATGATGAGAATGATTCTACAGCAGCAGCAGGAGAATTAAAACGGGACTATGCGAGTAAACAGTCAACAGCTCAAGTCGATAAAGAAGAAGGTGAAGCATCCAGTGAAGAAGATCGTCGTTATGATCATCGTTATGATTCAAAGCGTGAAAAAATAAGCACCAGTAAACAAAAGCATTCTTCAGAAGTTACAAATTTAACACTTGACGAAATCCAGTATCGTAGTCGTCTACATGAACGATATGAACGCAGAGAACGTGAAGGAAAACGATTGCGGAGTGATAAAGACACAGAGGCCACAGTGTACGACACACATCGTACAGCATACTTCAATGAAGAATCGAATTCCAGTAGTGGTGACAGGGAAGATGTCAAGTCAAGTATGAAAGTAGATGATTCAGAAGTTGGTAGAAAACATCAGTCCATTAAAGCACAAGATATAAGACAGAAAGGTAACGAATTCATGTTTGTTTTTTTATTATTTGAGAAGTGCTCTGTCTTTCTCTGTTGGACTATGTCTTAGTACTTATTCACACTTCGTGTATGAGGGCTGACTATGCCACTCAGTTACTCAGGCTAAAGTAGAGGGAGTAGGATTTGAACCTCACGACTTATTGGCTAAAAGCGGACTGCTTAAGTTAATGAGCCACATCCCCGCTAGTTGAGATTCACAGTACTGATTTTTCAAGACTTTTGGTTATATTGTTTAGAAACGGATTACTCTTTTGTATAGACTCACTTATGTCTTATCGTCTTCTCTTTGTTTGCTGTAGCTTTTGTCCCTTATATTTTATGATTCTACATTTTCTGTTTTACTTCCTTTTAGTTCCTGATTGGGGTATCGGTAGTTTAGCAGTAGAATACTCGCCATCCACGCATGTAGCCCGGGGTTTGACTTGTGGCTGACAGACTCCTAAACCTCGGAGCAAAGCTGTAGTTTGAAGACCTGCGTTCCACTCGGAACGTAAAGCGATAAATTAAAAATATTATTATTATATTATTGTTCCCTTGGGTTGCCTCATATCTCTGTTTACTGTCTCTATTTTGCGTTTCCTCTTACTTTCTTCGGTGTTTTTGTGTGCTGAGTGAAGTGTGGCGACCCGAACTACTGTACATCGGTGCAAAGTTCTATGTTGAAACCAATCAGTCAGTCAGTGGATTGCGAGTGGATTTTACTGCTTCAACAGCACGTCTCCACTTTGTCCTATTCTCTGTGGTCCTGTTTAGCTGACCCTACTATTTCCCATAATCTCTGATCTCTTCTGTGTCACCGTCAAACGCTCTCGAACTCATCGTTTCACATACAGGTTCTACTTGAGCGATGACCCTGGCGCTCAGTGTCACCCAACGATCTCCTCAGTGTGTACCCAATCATCTTCATTTTCTTCGGTATATTTGTTGAACAATAAGTTCCTGATTGATTCGTCCCTAGCTATCTGATCTTCAGTACAGAGTCAGCGAAGGTGTCAGCTGTTCATAAAATTCTGCAGTAGGGTGTTGAAAGTGCTTTTTGTGATACTTTTTCTTCAAGTTTCTGACCTGTATAGGAGAACTGACTGACCACAATTATGTTGAATATCCGAATTTCGTTCTTTATGCCGAGAAAGTCCAGAAGATTTCCGAACTGGTTTCAAAGTGTTGAAGGTATACCTTGCGCTTCTAATTCTGGTTTTTGACATCCCGATCCTTGCTGTTATCTGTAGTTGAAATGATGCTTGCTAGATAAGTGAAGGAAGTGACCTCTTTCAAATTTCTTCCGTTCGTATTGATTTGTACCGGTTGTTCTTGTTGGTGTGTGGTGTGAAATTAAAAATAAATAATAAAATTTCTTGATTTTTGCATGTGAGAAATGTCAGTTTGTGTTGTTGTTTTTGTTGCTGCTGTGTATTACCATGTTCAATATCAATGTCTTCCTATGATTTTACCACAAAAGACTGATAAGTTAAATCTAACTTCTTTTGAGGAAACATACGTAACTGTTATTGTTGTTGTTAGCAGTCTCATTGTGGAGGCTAGTGCCTAAACGGGTGAAGTAATTTTACTCTGTATTAAACTTTAATTAATTTAAAGCCAGGTGGTCATCATAGACTGATGAATGGATTCAGTTGCAAAATCATTGAATGGAAATGTGTTCCACATTATGTACCATTCCTTGTCCTTGCACGACTGACTAGTGACCATCTGGAAGCATACAGACATACATCTCCTCTTCGCATGACCTCCTCCATGTCACCCTCGCACTGACGACTAACTCGCCACTTCCCATTCGGGTTCCACTCGAGCGATGGCCTGGCGTGTGATGTCACTTGATGGTTTGTTTTCTCAGAGTATGGCCAATCCACCTCCATTTCTTCCTACATATTTGTTGCACAATTGGTTCCTGTTGGGTTGGTTCGCTCCCAGAGATCCCTCACTGTTGCTGATCTTTTCTGGCCACCTGATCTTGAGCGAAGACAGGTGTTGATGGAGGTGTGTTGTTTGTTCGAAGTGACGTGGTGCCAAGTCTCTGATCCGTATAGAGTAGCACTGACTTCACATTGGAGTTGAATATCCGGATCTTATTTTTCATGTTGAGTGCTGTTGATTTCCACACAGACTTGATGGCGTAAGTTGGCAAATGCCAAACGAGCCTTCTGTATCCGTGCTGAGATTACCTCAGCGATCAACCCACTGCGGCGGGCTGATGCAACCGCCCCCCTCCCAAATAAGGGAAGTGATCAGCATGTTTAGCCACCACTTCACTACTGCCTATCTTTAAGTTAGGAATGAGTCAATATAGTCCACTTGTGTAGCATTATCTTACATTTGACAGGAGGGAATCGCATGCCAAACATTCGAAGATTGCTTTGTGATCAAGGTGTTCAGAAGACTCTGCTCTATTTTATCAGTCTCTTCTTTTTGGAGGGTGGACTATATCATCTAGAAAATCAAAACAAATGATTCAGCGAAGAGACTCTTTTCAACGAATTTATCATCAAGCTGTACAATCGTATATATATGGTTTTTAAGAAGTTATATCCGGTGAGGGAATTGAAACATAGGTGTGAATGCATGAAATAATAATAATATGAAGTGCAATTAAAACTAAAATGTTTGTGATTATAATCGTAGTTAGAGGTCAAGTGGCAAAGCAAATTAATGTCATATATAGAATAATTCATAGGATGGATAGAACTTGAAAAAGGTGTGCAATTATAAGATTAGTAGACAAATCGAAAAAATAAAAACGTTACGTAATATTGTGTGAAATTTAATAGCATAGAATTTAATGTTGCATAAAGGAATTGATTTAGAATGACAAGTGGAACAAGTGAAATAATACCGGGGACAATTAAAAGTGAGAGTAGTAATCACAAACATTTTAGTTTTAATTGCACTTCATATTATTATTATTTCATGCATTCACACCTATGTTTCAATTCCCTCACCGGATATAACTTCTTAAAAACCATATATATACGATTGTACAGCTTGATGATAAATTCGTTGAAAAGAGACTATATCATCCTCCGCTTATTCTAAGTCAACGAGATTGTCCCCTGTTAACAATGCAATCCTTAAGTCTCTGAAGTTAGTTAGGGTTAATTCCTTTATTACATTTTTGGTTCAATTAAACAGAAATGGTGGAGGGACTGGTTTTCATTACTTTACATGACAGCTCTCTGTTAGCTCTTACATGGTTGAGTGAGTTCGAGTAGGGTACTTTGAAGTTATTCACTATTTTTACAGTTGGTGTGTGGTGAAAGATGGTCGCTAGCCAAATTGGTTGACAGTCATTGAGGTCAAAGGTCAAGGTTGTCAGGCGGATACAGTTAACATGTAGTTGAACTGACACAGCCACAAGATATGCAAGGTTAACCTTGCGAGAGAAACAACCAATCAACAGGCTGTATTTTCTACTAACATTGACCTACAATAATGTACATAAAAATCTATAAATACGTGTTGATTTTCCTAAATAAACGATCTGTTGCCTGGCCCTTGTCTTCTGTTGTTACAGGTGAAGTAGGTAGGTAGGTAGGTCGCCGTCTAACTAAATATTTCTATTCCAATAATCTTATTGATCCCGATCTATTAGTTTGACTGACCTGTATAATTGACCTCACTAACAGTCAGCATTATATGGTATTTGGTTAATCATATTATTCTTTTTAATTGGATCTATTGAGTCCTTAATCCGACAGAGTGTATCTCTGAAACAGTTGGTTGGTGTAAATGCCCCCCTAATTCCAGCCTCATTGAGAATCCTACGTAAGGCCTCTGACGTTCCTCCTTTAAACGGCAGTACCACAGAGGCTTTGAGTTCTATATTATTTTCTTAATTTTTGTTATTTTCACTACTGTTCTAATGTTTTCAGTGATTTTTCTTACATTTCTGAATAAATTTTGGTGGGTGGTTATTCACTAGTGATATTTTCTTTATTTTTCCTTGGATTCGATATTTTAAACCTTTTGATTTAATAGTTAGTCTCCTGGCCCGATGTTTTACTTAGTCCCTCGGTTTTATTAAATGTCTCATTAAAGTGTATTTCGTTCAATGGTGGCACTGGTAGCTACATTCACGAGTCAATCATTGTGTGTGTGTGTTCAGAGCCTGTGACTTGGGTGTATTCGCGTCTCATTTAGTTTTGATCTCCCCTATTCAGTGGACGACAGTCTAAACTACCAATGGAAACACTAGCACCTATTTTAAGTGACAAGCTGCATCGAAATGACTTGTCTCAAATAATTTCTTCCATTCTAAGCTATTTCTTCTCTGGTGCATTGTAGCAGTAGAGTCCAATGAGGTTCATGTCGTCCTACTTGAGATTTGTCATTTACATGTACTTGTTTCCAAGTCTTTCATTTTCGTGTTCCTGTACATATTCGTTTGCGTCTCACAGTGTGTGTGTGTGTGTGTGTGTGTGTGTGTGTGTGTGTGTGTGGGAATTGTATGAAGTTTTGGAAATAACATACTGTTGTATTTTCAGTCTGCTCAATGTATAATCGAAGAAAATATTATTATTTCCTTTAATTCCTAGAGGAACATAGGGCTTCAGCTGCGCGTCTCCATTGCGTTCGATTCTCTGCTAGAGTTTTCACCTGGCTCCAAGTCTGCCCACATGCTTTCATCTCCTTTTCACATGACCTCCTCCAAATCACCCTTGCACCGACGACCAACTTGCCGCTTCCCTTTCGGCTTCCGCTCGAGGGCTAGTCTAGTGATGTCACTTGATGGTTTCCTTAGAGTGTGGCCAATCCATCTCCATTTCTTCCTGTCTATTTATATATAATATAAAATATAATTACGTGAAATATTTTTTAAATAATTATTTTATTTTCCTCTGTAGATAAATCTCCGCCTCAAGATAGTCGAAGTTTTAAAGTAATACAAAAAGAACGCGAGGAATACAGTTTAAAGTATAGTCAAAGTCAGACAAGCTTTTCAAAATATGATACTGTTCTATCCTCAACTTCTCAGTCAGTACCGACTGCTTTATCGGACAAACTTATTGGATCAGAAAATCTTTATACATCAGCTGAACTGAATCATTCCCCAATTGAGGTGTCAAAAAAGTCTAAATCAAAAAAATCAAAACGAGAACGCAAAGATAGAGAGAAAGAGTCCTCAAAGATACGAGGCGATGATATCCCGTCGAAGTATAGTAAAAAAGAAAGCAAACAGCGTAAAGTACACTCGTCGTCGACAACGAGTGAATTAGACTATACTACTACTAAATGGGGCGAGTCAGATCAAAAGTATGGAAAGATGATATCAAGTGCTGTTCGTCATGATCGACTACATTCAGGTATGCAGCAGCAACAGCAGCATAGTCGTTCTGGTTCACTTGATTCAATCTCCTCTAATTCATCACAGATGAGCAAAGCTTCCGGTGATTCGTCTTCGTCGTCTTCACATTCATCGCCTACTGTACATCGTAAATCTTCATCAGTAGCTAGTGCTCATCACCACCATCACCAGCATTCATCTTCTCAGATACCATCATCATCATATGATCGTGATACCACAGCAGCGTATGATCATCGTCGACATCATCGCCATCATAGTAAACGACGTTATCATCGAGAGACCAGGGAAACAGCGCCTCCACCAGAAGCGAATCGCCCTTATATTGGTCCAAATCAAATATCAGTTAAGATAAAACATAAGCATAAATCAGATAAACGAGAAACGTTGACGACGACAGCGGTAGCCGCAGCAGTAGACAATAATTATACGACAAATTTATCATATAAACGTGAAAAAATATCACAGGATATTGAAAGTCATCAAGATATTCTAACTGAAGAATCTTACAGGCATCATAAAAAGAGTAAATTATCAAAGAATACTGAAGTTGAAGCAAGTGGCAGTAGGCATAAAAAACACTCATCGAAGAGGTCAAAGTCAAAAGAACGTCGATCATTATCACAGAAATTATCTGCATCTGAACAGACTAGTCGACATCACCGGTCATCAAAACGTGAAGTTGGTCATGATGAACGCTATTCAGAAGAAAGTGAATTAGACTCGGCAAATACTAAAGAAGTAAATCCTGATGTTAGCGATAAACTGGTGAGCAGTAAAATCAAAGATACTACTAATACATCATCATTCCCATCTGGAAGTAATAAACAAAATATTGTTGAAGGTGGTGAAACAAAAGGCAGTGGAAGTTTTAGTCGGTTTCCGCCACGACCACCACGATTACCACAGTATCCAGGTTATTCAGAATCTTCATCTGAATCTGATGACCTTGGCGTCGGTGTGCCTGATAATCCCTTTATGCATAATACTGCTATTAGTAATAATGGTGCTGATAGAAAAATGGATGTTGACGCTGATGAAGACAAATACAAAGATTTCCGTGATGATGATGATGAGGGTGACGGTGGCGGCAATAATGCTAAGATAGATTCGCCTGAAAATAGTAAACCACCTGGAAAGCCGTTCTATTTTCCGTCTATACAAGTAAGTTTGTAAATAAGATACCTATTGTTTGATTGATTATTACATTTTGTACGTTTGCCTTATTGTCCGATTAAACCATGACTGGCTGGATTCAACATAGAACTTGGCACCGAGGTGCAGCAGTTCGAGTTGCCACGTTCCAAATAGCACATAAAGGTAGACAAGAAAATGAGTGAAGAGAATCAATAGAGTTTTGACAGGTATAAGAGTGAAACAGAATGAGTAATGGTAGAAAGGAATATGAAAGATTACAGAGACTGAATACATCTGCGCCATTGACAACGATTTTGAGCCATGTCGTCTATTGTCTCCAGCCATTGATTCTTAGAGTCCCGAGGGCCCCAACCCGGAAGTCTGCATCTCCCTACCTGAACTAGTTTAACTGTCAAGGATTTCATGGATTGATGAGGCCATGTTTTTGTTTGGCCACCACTTACTCTTTTCCAACCTGCACCTATATCAGCTAGTAATGCCCGTCGGGAGGGGAAGGCGATGGTTAGGCATGCGCAGCACGTGATCTAGTCATCTCAATCTATGTAACTTTATAGCCTCTTCGATTGATTTTCCCTCTTCGCACAACACTCTTCGCCTAACGTCAACATTACTTACCTTATTATGCCACCTAACGTGAGAAAGAGATCGCAGATCAAAAACAGTCAACCTTTGCATGTCTTCAACTCGTATTAGCCACGTCTCACCGCCATAGAGAAGGACGGAGCAAACTGCTGAGCAGTACACACGTCCCTTGGTTGACAGCCGGATGTCACGCCTACTCCAGAGATGGTGTAAGTTAGCGAAAGCAGCCCGAACTTTTTGGATCCGTGCTGAGATTTCGTCACCAATCAATCCGTTGGTGCTGATACAACTTCCCAAATAGGTGAAGTGGTCGCCATGTTCTATGACTTCACTCCATATCACTAAGCTAGGAGTTGACGTAGTCCAGTCCTGTAGCAGCATCTTGCATTTCACAGGGGCGAATCGCATGCCAAACGTACGAAGATTGCTGCTCAAGGTGTTCAGAAGACCGCATTTTGTCAGCATCCTCCCCTAACAGGACTATTCCCTGGTAACAAGTCGATTCCTACGTGGTTAAGTTCAGTTAAGGATACTTCCATTAGCATATCTATGATGAAGTTAAACAGAAACGGGGAAAGTGGACATCCTTGACGGACACCACTGACTAAACCATGTACACGGAGCTGTCATGAAGTCAGAGTTATGTCTTTATTTCAGATATGAAGGCTATTTAGAGTAGTTTGCAAATTGTAAACGCTAATTAGTGTGATTCATGGCTGTTTTGTCTGATTCTTTCTACTATTTGTAAGCTGATTCCGAATAATTTAACTACATTTATTATAGATCGTGCGTTTTTGGTTCAGCGTTAGAATGCTCGCCAACCACGCACATGGCCCGGGGTTTGATCCCCGGCTGCCAACGCACTCCTAAACCTCGCTAAGCGGGTGGTGTTCGTAAGGCTGGTGAAGAGAAAAGGTTGGGCGTGAGGCGCTAGTAACTCCGCGCCGTGAAAATAAAACTACTGCTACCGAAACTACAAAGCCCTATCTAGCTGGAAGCCTTGGAACTTAAGAGGGAATAAAATATAAAAAAAGTAAAATTTAGTACGTGTCAAAGGACCTCTTAGTTGGTTGCAGGCGTTGACTAGCTGCACAAGTGATGGTGTATTCAGTGTTATTAGCAGAAGTTCCCAATTCACACTGATTTATATGCTCGTTGTACATACACTTGTACTTGCCCGCCTACATATGCATTGTTTACGCTTCAGTGGAAGGGTTTGTTTGGTTCTCATGAGATACATATAGTTAACAGGTGGGGTAACCTATCAGTAACCAACATCAGTTTGTGTGTACTTGGCTATAGTGGGGTCTAATTTAGAAAGAAACCTAGGCTGTCTTCACTTAGTGAAAGTCAAGTTATGAAACAAATAAGAATGAATGTGTGCAGTCAGGTGTATAACACCCAACATTTATACCGGGTTAATCATAACCCATTTTATCCATCACAGAGGTTTTTGAGCACACTAGTATACAAGCCATACTTAGTAAGTGAGACTGACTATAATTATGGTTATAGCATGTGTGTAGCTTACATTATTTTACAGGGTCTGAGAGGGAAGTTCTGCTGATAGAAAAAACTGTTATGGTAGCGAAGTGCTTCTTCCTCATAATCAGTAGGTTAAATACGTGATTTCCTCATTAATCAGAGGAGTGAGAGTAGGTAAAGCTGAACAACTAATAGTACGCTCCGATATACCCTGTATAATGTTCTATAGTAAATCTTCTGGTTTTCATTACGAACTAATCTCAACGAATTCAAATATTTTTAACCTGGTTGCTCGATCTTAAAGAGACAGACAGACTTCAGGATTTGTAACAATTTCACAAAATGAATCGTTTCAGATATAGAAGACATAAACTTCTACCTTGTGAGTATTAGCTTTACCACACTTGTGTTGGCATTTAAGTATGTTAAGACTTATTATACTGCTAATTTATCTAAGCTCAAATAGGTGAGGTCTTTCTATAAACCCGCGATTTATTTCATTATTTAGGAGAGGAAAGCATTGTCATTGTCAAGCACGTTAACTAACTGGTTAGTTGCCTTCTAAGACTTTACTCAGCTGGATTGTGAAGTGTCTTGTATATTTATTATTATTGTTCCCTTGGGTTCCGAGTGGAACATAGGGTTTCGACAGAATGTCTCCAAGTTGTCCATTTCTCTACCGTCTTCTTAAGCTGACCCCCACAGTTGCCCATAGTCTGTCATCTCCCCACCATACAATCTCCTCCATGTTACCTTTGGACATATGCCCCATTCGGGTTCCTCTCGAGTGATGGCCTTGGACGCAATGTCATTCGACGGTCTTCTCAGTGTGTGTCCAATCCATCTGCACTTTCTCCTACATTTTTGTTGGGCAATAGGTTCTTGGTTGGTTTGTTCCCAGAGTTTCTTGTTACTAATTCTTCAGTATGGAACCAGCGATGGCAGATGTTGATAAAAGTCTGCAATAGCTTTTCATGACGCTTTGAACAATTTTCTGACCCAGATAAAAGAACTGACTGACTTAATATAGGTGATGAAAATCCGAATCTCTTTCTCTATGATGAGTACAGAGGATTTACAGAGTGATGAATGTCTTCTGTCTTGCCTTTCCGATGGTAGTTTTGACATCTTCATTCCTGCTGTCGCCTGTAGTTGAAACGATGCTTCCTAGATAAGTGAAGGAAGTGACCTCTTTCAAATTTTTTCCGTTAATAGTGATTGGCACTGGTGGTTGTTCCTGTTAATGTGTGGGTGTCTCTAAATCACCTCCGTCTTCTCTATGTTCACCTGAAGTCCTGTCTTCACTGGCTACTTCTGCCAGCTAGTCGGCTATATTGCCTGTAAGTCTTCGAGTTTGTATGACATCTTTTGTACAAAGAATAAATTATTATCCATCATATCTCTCTTCTTTTCTTCATCTCTTTTCCAAAATTTAGGGTTGCCGATCAGTTGAAGAATTTGAATGCCTTAATCGTATTGAAGAAGGCACCTATGGAGTTGTCTATCGTGCTCGTGATAAAAAAGTCAATGAAATTGTTGCATTGAAACGTTTAAAAATGGAAAAAGAACGTGATGGTTTCCCGATCACTTCACTACGTGAAATCAATATGTTAATGAAAGCTCAACATGAGAATATTGTTACTGTACGTGAAGTAGTTGTCGGCAGTAATATGGATAAAATATATTTAGTCATGGATTATGTAGAGCATGATTTAAAATCGTTAATGGAGGTAAGTTCTCCAATAACTCTCACTTTTTTTTTCTTAAAGATGTGTCTTCTAGTAAAATGAAATTTATGAAATTTCTTTTTCTTAATCGATGTATGTAAGTGTTGGTTCGCAGGGATTTGACTGGTCACAGGATTTTCATCATGAGCTGACATCGCTTAGAGAATAATTGAAAATTAATATTCAAGTGTTGGTTTGTAGGGATTTGATTGGTTACAGGATATTCATCATGGGATGACGTTAGTTAGAGAACCATTGGAAAACCTGGGAGTACTGGACAGTTGTTTCGTCCTGGTTTGGGACTCTTCATCAGTACGCACCCATCGGGATTCGAACCAAGGACCTTCTGGTTACAAGGCGAGCTCGTATACCATTAAGCCACTGGGACAGAAGACAAGTAGTTCAGCGAAGAGTCTCTTTTCGGCGAATTCATTTTCATAGCTGTACAATCGCAAATATATATGGTTGTTTTGTATGTGTGTGTACATTAAATTTGTCAAACGAAAATACAATTAGTAAGTTCAGATGAATTGGATGTTGATATAAGAGGGTAGTGACAAAAGTGATGAGTTGTCACAAACGATTGTTAAAGAAGAGTTACGTAATAACATGAATAGTTTGATGAAAGAGTTGTACTCAGGCTGTACATGGAAACAAAATAACATACGGAATTACACAAGGGTTTAAAGGAGAAAAATAAGCATACAAACAAAAGTTAAGTCAAATCAACGGAGTTGTTACCATGAGAGTAGAAATGGTTGAATAATTTTCTTTTGTATGAACAGTTCTGGTTCCTCCAACTGAATGGTTAGGGCTTCTGCTGTGCAAAGAAGACGGAATCGTACTGTTTTTGGAAGGTTGTTCTTCACTTTGTAGATTACTTTGAAGGAGGCGTTTGTTGAGATGGAATGACCAGTGTTGACGAGGTGTTCGATTATTGCACTCCTTATGCAGCCATTACTTCCTTTCTGCAGCCACGCTGGATAGTCTTCTTTGACCCTTTTTGACAGGATACGCGTTGAACGACCGATGTACCTGGCTCCACAACAACAGGTGAACTGATATATACACATAGAAGTGGTCAGGTGCGGGATCTTGTCTTTTGGGATTCTGCAGATCAGCGGGCGACTGGAGAACACTACTCTCAATGTTGCCGCAAAGAAAGTTCCTCTTAAAGAGGTGGAGATTCTCCTTCTAAGGACGTCACTTAGTAGGTCTCCTTTGAAAAACCACGTGAGAGTCCTAGACAGCTGTTTCTTTGTAGTGCCTGGGACTCTTCATCAGTACGCACCTACCGACTGGGGTTCAAACCCAGCTGAGCTCCTAGATCACTCAGTCTCTGGGATCCGATCCAATGGCCAACCCATGAATTCCAATTTCTGTCAATTCACAGTATAGCGCAACTACTAGCTAATTTCATCGGTGGTTAGTATTTGTCCTCACAGCCAACCTGTTGGTGAACCCCGTTGGTCACAAATTCCCTCTAGAATACAGGTAACTACCTGTCTGTCCATTTTCGACATAGAACTTCACACATATGTGCGGCAGTTCAAGTCGCCACACTCCATGTAGTACACAAAGCAAGAGAAGAAAGTAAAAGGGAATGCATATTAGAGACAGTAAACAGAGGTGTGAGACAAAGGAATAGTAATAACGGAGAACAAAACAGTTTCATTGGAAATCATAAGTCACAAGGAGTGGATGCATCTCCACCAGCCATTGAGAACGATTTTGAGCCATGTCACCAATTGTTTCCAACCATTGGTTTTTACCATCCCGAGGACCCCAACCAGGAAGTCTACATCTTCCTACGTGGCTTAGACTAACTGTTGTAGATTTCATTGACTGGTGCCATGTTTTGGTTTGACCGCCGCTAGCTCTTTTCCAGCCTGGCCCTTTATCAGCTAACATTGCCTATCGGTCGAGGAAGGCGATGACTAAGCATACGTAACACATGTCCTAACCATCTCAGTCGATGCAGGTAACTACTTACCTGAATAAGGTCAGTCGCTATTTAATATATAAGTGTTGGTTCACAAGGATTAGCCTGTTACTATACTGTGGGTCTGACTTCTAACTAGTTTGCTGTTTAATGGCTTATTAGCATACATTTTGATTGCACTCAGTTATTTGGAACACATAGTACATGTAGCAGACTATGAACCAACTATTGTCTCAGGGCTGCTAAGGCTACCTACTTATCCAAACTTAATTATGTAGCTTGGGAGTTCGACTTGGAGCCTCATTAATTCCGTATCCAATGGACAACATTTCCACATTTGAGTACATGCATCAGTTCTAAAGATTACCGGTGATCTGAATCCTTTAAATTATGGGACTTCTTTACTGGATGACATAATATCTAGTATGACATCATTTTAACATAGAACTTTGCTCAGAAGGGGAACATTTTAAGCTGCGAACTTCATGTAGCATACAAAGGGAGAAAAAAGAGAGTAAGGAATTCAAAAGATGTGCACTGAGCAGAAAATTAAGGAAGAATGAATAGTAACATGGATATGGATATGGGATATCATAAAGAGTTAATGCGTTTGCGCCATTGAGAACGATTTTGAGCCAGCCATATCACCAATTGTCCCCAGCAATTGATTCTTAGAATCCCGAAGGTCCTAACCTGGCAGACTACTGTAAATACAGTAAATAATACTGTTCCACTGTGCGATATATCGAATAAACAAATTAATGTAGAATTACATACTAACATTGCCCAAGTTTTACATATATATTGATTTGAACTCAGTGAGGCGTTCGAAGTGAATACAGGATGACATTCTTAATTGTGGTAGACTGGATTATGTGTCAGACTGTGTGGAGCTAGGAGATAGTAATACGTTGGACCAATAAGAAGACTCTAAAAGATCTGGATTTCGCAGGTGATTTATGTTTAGTGTCACACAAACTCGAAGACTTGCAGGCAAAGATCAACAAACTGGCTGAAGAGGCAAGCAGCGAAGACGGGACCCCAGGTAAACATAGAGAAGACGAAGATGATGAAGATAACCAACCAACGAACAGCAACAACAACCAGCCCCAATCACCATCAGCGGGAGAGATCTAACAGAGGTTACTTCCTTCACTTATCTAGGAAGCGTCGTTTCAACTCCAAGCAGCCGGAACGGATGAAAATGTCAAAGTCAGAATCGAAAAGGCAATATACGCCTTCAGAGTGTTAAAGGTTTACTTTGCCTTTCCAAATCTGGCTAGCTTTTGACATCTTTATCCGTTCCGGCTGTCTGTAGCTGAAACGAAGAAAGTAACGTCTTTCATCAAATTTCTTCCGTTGGTAGTGATTGGTGGTGGTTGTTGTTGTTGTTGGTTGATTATCTTCATCATCTCCATCTTCTTTATGATCATTATGTTCACAAACACTAATGTCTCATTGTCTGTTTCATAATATCATCTGATGTGGTATTCAAATTCCCCACCTTTGTTTTTGTCAATATGTTCTTGGTTCCACCTTGTAGGTTATGAATGGTCCATTCAGTGTTGGTGAAGTGAAGTGTTTACTTGTACAATTATTACGTGCAGTTGGTCATCTACACGATAATTGGATATTACATCGTGACTTGAAGACATCGAATCTTTTATTAAGTCATCAAGGAATCTTAAAGGTGAGTTAGTTAGTCATTTGGTTCTCTTTACTTGTCAGCCTTTAATTTTCGTCTTTTTTCCACTTTTAGTTTACTTATTTGCACCTCCCTAGTTGGCTGGTTTAAACTAACTGTATTATGGATTTCATTGACTGATGAAGCCATGTTTCCGTTTGACTGCCACTTACTCTTTTCCAACCTGATTGATCCTATGTCAGCTAACATTGGCAGTTGAGGAAGACGATGGATGGCTAGGAGGCATGAGTGATACATGTCCTGGCCATCTCAATCGATGTAGTTTCACAACCTCATCGATTGATTTTTCCTCCTTATCTAGCACTCTGTGCCTAACCTCAATATTCCTCACCGTATTATACCTACCACCTAACACGGGAGATAGAACGCAGACACATATGATCGAAGACAGCTAGCCAACCAGGCTTTTCACGTCTTCCACTTTCAACGACCATGTCTCTCTCATAGACGTAAAGGATGACAGATAGGACTGCTGCTGTCCTTTGACCGATGGTCAGCTGGACATCATGTCTACTAAGGTAGAGATGGTATAAGTTGGCAAATACCACACGAGCCCTCTGTATCCATGCTGAGATTTCGTCAACCGTCAACCCCACTGGGGCTAGCTGGTATAATTTCCCACCCGAATAAGTGAAGCGGTCAATACCCTCAGCCACCACTTCACACTACTGCTTGTCTAAGAGTAGTCGATATAGTAAAGTCGTGTAGCACTTTGTTGCATTTGGCAGGAGGGTTCTTATTATGATATTAGAAGTGGATGTATGCAAAGCTCCGGGTTCTTCCGTTTAAATGGTCAGAACTTCAGCAGGGCTAAGGAGGCGAAAGTGGATCATCCCTGGAGGATTACTTTCTCCTTTGTAGATCACCTTGAAGGAGGAGTTGGTTGAAATAGAGCAGCTAATTTCTACAAGGTGTTCAATTATTACACTTCTTATATTTACTCTTCTTACATCTTGTCTGTATTGATTATTGTAGGTAGGCGATTTCGGGTTAGCTCGGGAATATGGTTCTCCGCTTAAACACTATACTGAAGTTGTTGTCACCTTATGGTATCGAGCACCGGAATTGTTATTAGGTGAGTTAGTCTGGAGTGGAGTTTATGTAGTAGTTTAAATTTTAACGCAATGATAAATATTCCCAACTCTAAGGGAGATGGGACAGAGAGTATAGTTGTAAGTATTTCGATACTTACATTTTTATCAGTGGTCAGTATTTATAAACAGAGTCTTCGCCGTCAAAACGATTGATTTCGTCGCTTCCGGTTGTTCGTTGGAGATGTTTTTTTGATTCATCAATTTTCTATTCCATCAATTAACTCAGGTCTCGTGAAGGAACCAGTTGAAACTGAAAAGAAGGCATGATCGTTTTTCCCCCACCAAACTTCACAAAGAAAACTGTCTTTTTCCGTTGACACCTGGCAACCAGAATCTAGAGAAGGGTGTTTTCATCTCTGTGATGGTGATTCCCTTGTGGTAATAAGTTTAGACACTACTTTTGATTAAGGGGATCCTAGGTACAAACTGTTTTCCGTTGATTCGCTCCTAATTTGCGACGTCAAATTACTTTGCACATAAGAACTTCATCTTTTCATTTAGTGACTGGCTTGTTTCAGCATTCAACTCTGCACATTAGTGCACCAGTTCATTTGGCCACTCTCTATTTAGCACACAAAGAAAGCGAAGAAAGTAGAGATTCAAAAGAGAGATAATAAACAGAAGTGTGAGTGAGGGAAAGGGAATTCATCTGCGTCAGTCATTGAGAACGATATTGGGTTATATCATCGATTGTCTCTAACCATTGGTTTCTACCATCAAGAATGGCAGCCTACACCTCCCTACGTGGCTTGATGGTTGTCTGGTTTTAACTAATTGTATTATGGATTTCATTGACTAATTAAGCCATGTTTCCGTTTGACTCCCACTAGCTCTTTTCCAACCTGATCGATCCTATGTCAGGTAACATTGGCAGTCGAGGAAGGCGATTGATGGCTAGGAGGCATGCATAGCACACATCGATGTAGCTTCGAAACCTCGTGACACTGTATCACACTTGACTGGTAGAAAATTTTGATCATTGCAGTCTTCTAGAGACAGCCAAACTAGTTACTTAGTATTCTGGTACAACTAGAAGTCAGTTGTAACCTGAACACATTACCTGGTATTAAAGCTTTCTGATCTCCATACTGATTTATAAGACTGTTTTCATCTTGAAGGGGACTGACTTTTGTCAACGGTGCTAAAGATATCTTTTGATGCTCAGTGTTGACAAACGCGATAAGCAGATGTGAGTTTTCTTATCAATGTTGGCCTTCAACACATAAAAATCTTTTTTAATTCAATTTTAACTTTTCTATTGACTGACTGGGCTGAATCGTTCGGCCTTTGCTGACCTGTCATCTCTTAGTACAGATGCTTCAACAATGTCTGAGGATTAACCTTTAGTAGTTTAGTCGATGCTGACTAGCATCGGAATGCAGAATGCACATTTCATCCTTTTTGAGACTCGTCAATCAACGGGAAAATAAAAAAGTTGACGAATAATAACTGATGCCCGTTAGTCAAGACACGTGATTCTCGTGGTCCTATAGGTCCAGTGGATAACGCTTTGGCGTTTGTTATTGATGGGTGCTGTGTTCCAGTCTCAGTGGGAACACTATCACTCACTGCGAAATACAGATACATGCAGATGACGAGTCCTAAATGGTTCGAAATGCACCTACTGGTTCCCACTACTAGTTACCATCCAATAAATTATCTAAAAACCTTACCTCCATGTTTTTTTTCCTTCACGTTCCCCAGTGGAACATAGGGCTTCAAGCCAGAGGCTTAAAGTTTCTGTAGCAGTGTTTATTTTACAGGATTGGGTTGCTAGCCTCATGCCCAACCTTTCTTCTTCACTAGCATTTTTTCTGGTTTAGCGAGGTAAAGGAGTGCATCTGTGACCGGGGATCGAACCCCGGACCATGTGCATGGTCGGCGAGCGTCTTAACCGCTATGGCACCGACGCAGTGTACAAATAATCGGTTAGTATCCTGGTTATTTATACACAGTAAGTATGACCTATAGTTAAACATTATTTACTTATTTTTTCTCAATATTATCCCGCTAATGTCTTTGTAAATTTAGAAATTAAATTGTATGTAACTAAGTCTTTCTATCATTCTTCTTTACTTCTTTATTACATAAAGGTGCAAAACAATATTCTTGTCCAATAGATTTATGGTCCGTTGGTTGTATTTTCGCTGAATTCCTACTACAACGACCATTATTCCCTGGGAAAGGAGAAATCGATGAGTTGAATATTATTTTCCGTGATTTAGGCACGCCAACTGAGCGAATATGGCCGGGTGTATCCCAGTTGCCTGGGATTAAGAAATGCGTTTTTACAGAATATCCATATAATCAACTAAGACGAAGATTCACAGAGAAACAAATTTCTGATCAAGGATTTGATTTACTAAATAGGTGAGTCAGTGCAGCATAACTCATGTGTGTATGTGTGTTAATGACCAGTATTTTATGCATATGTTGTAACAAATCGCCCAAGTCAGACTTCAGTCATTGGTCCTCATGGTCATAATCTACTAGAGTAAGTATGAAGCGGAACTGTGTAGGGTTCTTGACTGATGTACCAAAGTCTTTCATTACTGAAGAAAGTCTCAGGGTAGATTTCGCCATGTTGACCACTTCACCTATTTGGGAAGTTGTATCAGCACCAACGGATTGATTGGTGACGAAATCTCAGCACGGATCAAAAAAGCTCGAGCTGCATTCGCTAACTTACACCGTCTCTGGCGTAGGCGTGACATCCGGCTATCAACCGAGGGACGTGTGTACTGCTCAGCAGTTTGCTCCGTCCTTCTCTATGGCTCTGAAAATGGCGAGTACGAGTTGAAGACATGAAAAGGTTGTCTGTTTTTGATCATAGATGTCTACGATCTCTTTCTCACGTCAGGTGGTATGTAATGCTGACGTTAGGCGTAGAGTGTTGGGCAAAGAGGGAAAATCAATCGAAGAGGCTATAAAGTTACATAGATTGAGATGGCTAGGTCACGTGCTGCGCATGCCTAACCATCGCCTTCCCCTCCCGACGGGCATTACTAGCTGATATAGGTGCAGGTTGGAAAAGAGTAAGTGGTGGCCAAACAAAAACATGGCCTCATCAATCCATGAAATCCCTGACAGTTAAACTGAGTCAGGTAGGGAGATGCAGACTTCCGGGTTGGGGCCCGCCCTCGGGACTCTAAGAATCAATGGCTGGAGACAATAGGTGACATGGCTCAAAATCGTTGTCAATGGCTTACGCAGATGTATTCAGTCTCTGTTATCTTTCATATTCCTTTCTACCATTACTCATTCTGTTTCACTCTTATACTTGTCAAAACTCTATTGATTCTCTTCACTCATCTTCTTGTCTACCTTTGTGTGGTATTTGGAACGTGGCAACTCGAACAGTTGCACTTCGGTGCCAAGTTCTATGTTGAATCCAGATAGATAGACAGATTTCGCTATGATACGATATCAATAAGGGAACCATTTGAAACCAGAGAGGCTGCTTGGATATAGCTGTTCCTCAACCCACCTGAAATTGAGTCAGGGACCACTAAGCTAAGAGGTGGGTCGGAGTCAGAGGATGTTTCAAGGATGAGGACCATTAGAGAGTGCAGACACAGAATTAAGTTGTCATTCACTATTTCTTTGTTTTCATTGATTTCGTAACTGGTTTTCGTAGCTTCAAATCACCCATTCTACTCCTTTTTTCTCTCTTGATTTCCCTTATTACGGTTGATAAATTTGTTAAAGGTTTGATCGTGAGTTGAAATCAGTTAGAGAACCATTGGAAAACCTAGGAGTACTGGACACTTGTCTCGTCTTAGTTTGAGACTCTTCATTAGTACGCAGTCACTGGGGTTCGAACCCGGGACCTGCTGGTCACCAAGTCAGCTCGTAGACCATTAAGCCACTGGGATCTGATCCAATGGCTTATTAATTCCAACTTCTCCCAATTCGCTGTACACAGCACAACCGCTATCTTATGTCTTAGGCGAGTAACTGTCCACTTACTTGACTGATGTCAGCTCATCACCAAACCTGTAGGTAAACACTTGAAAATTAATCTGATGCGCACTAGTAACTGGCTGTATACACGAAGTTACCTGGCGTCCTTGTGAGAAGTTATAACCAACGCCGTCCACTGAGTTAAGTAAGAGAACAGTCACTGGCCAGTGACGTTGGCTAGCGGTTGCCCTATTTATTGTGAATTGATAGAAATCGGAATTCGTGCGTCATTGGATCAGGTTCCAATGGTTGAATGGTCTACGAACTCACCATGTAACCAGAAAGTCTTGTGTTTGAACACCGATAGGTGCGTACTGCTAAAGTGTCCCGAATTCGGACGAAATAGTTGTCCAGTACTCCCTGGTGGTTTTCCAATAGTTCTCTAACTGATGTCAGCTCGTTATCAAATCTGTAACGTATTAAGTCTCTGCTAATCAACGCTTGACAAATAATTTTCTTCTCGCAAGCTCCTTCAATGGATACCGCGGTGTTACTAAGGCTGATAAGTCGAAGTTAGTTAGCTATTTGATGTCAAATACGACGTAATTACATAACATTTTGGTCTTTCCTGCTAAAAGAAAAACCTGGCCTAGTTTACTAGCCGGTCTCAAGCCCAGGAAAAGAAGAGTTGGACGTGGGGCTAGCGACCATACCCCACAAAACCAATCAGACTGCTACAGAAACTTCAACGCATGAGAACAATATTGAAAACACAAACATGATAAAAACAAACTTATTCTTCGCTGGAATCGCAGAGGTGAGATGACACAGAAGGCTGGTGAAAGCCTACGGGGAGCGAGTCAGCCGATTTGTCTTCTTTCGATGGAAGCTAAAATAAGCTCAGGGGTGTGGGGAATATTCGTACAATGTACGAGGCTGGGAAGATGGCTCAGGTAGCCAAAGAAATGAGAAGATATGGTATGAAAGTGTTCGGAATCTGCGAGAGCAGACAAAATCAATGTGGACTGTCAAAATTGTCAACTGGAGAGTCAGTAATCTGCTCCGATCTGGTCACCCAGACGACAACGACGAACACACTGAGGTGGTGAGTGACTATAATGATGTCACCAGTAGCAGCCAAAACTCTAATACTGTGGGAACCAATCTCCTCGCGCAGGTTTATGACAGGAAGATTCAACTCAAAAGGAAGGAAGTTTACAATTATCAAATGCTACGCTCTATGCTACAAACAACTCGGAACAAGACAAGAAAGATTTCTATAAACAATTGCTAAAAGAACATTTTAAGTCATCCTTACTGTACAACTTCATGTTTTTTGATAAGTGTAAAACAATTTCGAGTATGGATATCAATTAATCCACAGAAAGCGTTTTTGTTATAATCATAACTATCCAGCTCAGAGAACAAAACCATATCAAAATCATAAGTACAGTTATCGCCTGAATTTAGTTTACAGAGAAGAAGACGTGGGTCACTGGCTCTAGCGATCTGCGGGCAATCAGTGGGTCTCGGGTTCGAATCACTCCCCAAATACCTCAGCCTGTGGACAACTGGGTAGGATCACCAGCCACCAAACAGTTAAAGTGTTACTCGTGGCCTGGAGCTTGTAAAACGTGAACTGATTTCGAAGAGCATATGATTCCGAAAACCATCTTGTATAATGGGTATAATCAGTTGTTTTCCTAAGGTAAAAATGTTTTATTAACTGTAGTCAATGTTTTATTAACTGTACAGTCAAATGTTGTCCCAACCACTTATCGAAGTATAAAAACATTCTTATCTTGAAGATTTACGTTACCACTGTCTCTTCCATCTTGGATCTATCTAATTTTGTAGATGAATTTACCATTTTTTCCGTTACTTTATCTTGGGGACTCTCGATCAATAGTCACTGATATGACTTCATCGCCTGCGATTGTTCTTTCCTTGAATCACTGGTTCGCGTAAACATTGTCATCTTTGGTAGTCGGCTTGACAAAACGCTTGATTTATTGTTCATTAATAATTTTGGAATATATGATATGAAGCACGGAAATCTGCTCTAATACTGAATTCCGATCATCGCATTATTCGAGTATTGCCTAAAATACGTAGCAAGTCGTAGACAAGTATCTCTCCTCACATTTCCAAGAAAAAACGCAACAGTGGTGCTACTCCCAAGGCTATACAAACAACTCTAGATACTTACTGAATGACACTAACCGAAAATTATTTACTGAGCATACACTGGATGATATCCCTAATACATAACGGAGCATCTTAAATTCTGCTTCAACGTACGTATGTTGCTCGAAACAAGCATTATTCAAAAGACTAGACTGTTTCTCTTCTCCCTATCTCAAAATGTTGCTATAACCGATCATGTTGATTTTTGTGTTTTCTATTGTTGAGTAAATTAGATGCAATATTTTACGAAAATGCTGAAAATTTTACACTGTAACATAAGTAATATTTTAGAATAAAGGAAATTATTACTACTATTATTAAAAATTTCGTCTGTTTTTTCTTAATTAATCTCTCTTACAGTTTTCTAACCTATTGTCCAGAAAAACGAATTACTGCTGAAAAAGCGTTAGCTCATCCCTACTTCAATGAACGTCCTCGTGCTATTCATCCATCAATGTTTCCAAGTTGGCCAGCAAAATCTGAAGGTGGTGTTGCTGTGAAAAAATCTTCACCTCGACCACCAGCTGGTGGTGGTGCTTTGGCAGCAGCAGCAGCTGCTGTAGCCGCTGCAGCAGCAGCCGCGGCTGCAGTATCTTCCTCCGTCGGTGCCGGTGGTGGTGGTGGTGCGGGTAGTCGTATGCGATATCAACCTCCAGCACCGCCTATGGGTGGTCAAAGATTCTACAGCAGTATGGCTGATTCTCGTCCTAGTACGGCGAATCGTGGTGGTGGTACACTTGGTTCAGGTGATGCTTTTTCCACTGGCGGTGTAGATAAAGGATTTTTGTTGAGGTTTTGAATTGCAGTTATTATTATTATTATCATCATCACCATGATCCATTGTGTAGTATATTCCTACTTCTCTTCAATATTTTAACTCCTTTGTACAGAGAAAACACAGCAACTTTATGCTCCGATTTTGTACTTTAATTCTATTGTAAAATATATATTCAAGCTTACTTTTCTCATACTTTATTGTTTTATTTTTTTGTTGAATGCAAATTTCTGTTGTTACGATTGCATGTGAAATGTTGTGGTGCAGTGTAATTATTCTTTGATTGGACAATAGTTAGTAACTGGTGTAATGTGTCTAGTCCTTTGGTTTTGCTGCAAAATGAATTCTATCAGTCAAGTTTGTAATATGGCCATCATGCCACTAGATGGCTCTTCATCACAATGCGATGCACTGCACTGTAAATTGTTGATATGCGATGCGTTGGTGACAGGTGACCGGAAGGTAGTGGTAGAATTCTCGCCTACCATGCCTGAAACCCGGGATTCGATCCTTGGCCGGCACACGCCGAAGCTTCACCTAGCCGGCAGTCGATCCGGTTAAGAGGGAAGGTTGGGTGTGAGGCTAACAATTCCACCCCGTAAAAGTACACACCACTGTTACTGAAACTTCAAAGCTCCAGCTTGAAGTCTTTTGTTCCACTCCGAACGCAAAGGAATAGTGCGTCGGTGGCACAGCGGTTAGGACTCTCGCCGACCATACACATGGTCCGGGGTTCGATCTCCTACTGACGCACACCTGATATCAATTGGTCGGCCTGCAATATTCGGGCTACCGATATCACATGCTAAAAATTCCATACTTTTACTGAAAATACTGTGTGGAATAAAGCTATAATCAAAAATTTAAAAAAATATTTAAAAAATATCAAATAAGATGGTTGGAGGTAGTCGTCAAGGTGGCCTGGACTTGGGTTTCGTGCTTGTCGGTACTCGTCACCAAGGCGAATCTGCAATCAGTCTATCCAGTCAAATTATTCGACGCACTCCTTTAGGAGGTCAGTCGCAAAGCTGAATAGCTCAATGGTAACGTATCTGACTGCAGCACTGAGTGATGCGTGTTGGAATCTCAGAAGGGACATGGATTCCTTCAAGGTTGCAGATACGCCTTACTGACTGATGAGTGTCACGAAGCACGAAACCTAGGCCGAAGGCTTCCTACCGATTGTTTCAAATCATCTAATATCAGGTTGAACAATATTTAAATAGTTTTCTTATCTGTTTATTATACGTGTCTTTTGTGTCTAGTAGTAGAATAAAGTAGGCAAATGATAGGGGATATACCTCTAGTCAGTGATCACAAATGAGCAGAAATTAGCATTTATTGGCGTCTGGATATTGTTACAGTAGCTGAATGGTCAACTCGGTGCCCTTGGGTTCTATTCGTGGTGGGTACTGCTACTGAAGAGTCCAAAGCTTGGGCGGAAACGTTGTGCAGTACTTCCTGCGTTTTAGAGGTTCTCAAACTGATGTCACTTCATAAGCTAACCTTTAAATATAAACAGTTTAAGTAATAGTGAATTGGGAGGCAGCCATGATCAAGAAATAATGGTGACAACCAATCGTCTAAAAAGTAACTTCGAGTAAATAATCCAAAATGTCTGTTGTGTTTCTTCGAAATATGATACTGACAGCCTTTAAGATAAAGAAAGCTATATTTATACAACTGAGACAGTTATAAGTGTTGCAGCTTACGCGGGGAATACTGTCTAGCCTCGGGTTGGATTCCCTGCCGACACAATTCTAAACCTTGTATGGTTAGTAACTAGTCAGCAGTAAGCTCGGAAAGGAGGGGAAGGTTAGGCATGAAGTTATTGTTGAAGATGTCATCAAACTCTGTTTGTTTGAAATGCACCAATTATTAATTACTGACCACTTATTTAAAACAAAAATATTCCTTGCCATGCACATGAAACGGGACATGGATGCCAACTTGGTATAGTCTATCATGGTGCGATTGAGTTGTATTCTTATCGGTTTATTTGCAGTGCTCTCCACTAATATTTTGATCTTTGGGGTAGAGTTTATAAAGACTTTCTGTTTGAATTGCGTAGAATGAACAGTTGTTGTATGTCAAACATAATGAATTTGTTAATCTGGTGATCAGAAAGAATAATTACAATCCGATAAAAGTTTAAACACAGATCGAACTGTTTTATGTAAAATAAATTGTGAGTGACACAATAAAATAGCTGGAAATGGCAATATCTATCTACAGTGATCAGGACTTTTCAGTTGTTAGATTTTCGTTGCGAACAAACATCCGTTACAGAGATCATTGTAAACCAAGGCGAACTGAACACCTGTTTCGTCCTACTTGGAAACTCTTCATCAGCGCGCACCCGCGACTTTGTCAGGGATTGAACCTGGAACCTTCAGATTGACCTCGTTGACTATTGAGCCACTTGGGCTGGAATTCAATGACCTGTGAATTCTACATTCGTCAACTCGTGATATAGCTCTACTCTTACTAGTACCTTCGATGAGCATTCCTTTATCTAGACATGATGAACCCCATTGATCACAACTTCCGCTCTGCAGCTTCAGAAAATCCATCCAGTAGCCATCAGAAGGCTGGCAATGAATTTTGGATAAATTACAATTGTTCGCAACAAATCAATATCAGTTAGGTAGATTATTGAAAACCATGGAGCTAATGGTCCCGAGTTCGATTGCTGATGATGGGGTCGTGGGTGTGCACTGACGAAGACTTTCAGAATAGGACAAAACAGCTGTTCAGTGTTCCTTGGTAATTTCAATGATCTCTCTAATTGATGTTGGTTCGAAATACTAATCAAAATACCCACAATTCCTGTCATCTGAACAGTCTTACGACAAAGGAGTTTCTCAATGGTAGATGATAATAATCTGTTTCATGTTTGGTCGCCGATTGATATCAAGGCGTACTGGACAGCTAGCTGTTCCTTCCTAGTTCCGAACTCATCTGAAGTAGACACTTACTGCGTTACGGACGTAGGGTCCTTCTGGTTACAGGACTGTAACAGAACTACTGTACAGTACTCCAGTACTGGTTTTCAATGGTCAGTTCTCTAACTGATATCAATCCGTGGGCGTACTTAAATGGGCGTACTCAAATGCCTACAAAAAAACTTATGAGAATAATCTGTTCTGTCAAAGGATTGAATTATTGTTAGTCATACTGATTCAGTAAAATTAATTTCATTCATAAGGAGCTGTTGAAGCCCTGTGGCGAAGAAATAGTCAACCCATACTGACATGGAAATGCAGATAACCGCCTTAATGAAAATGCGTATTTATGATAAATTTATTATATGTACACCTTTCTTAGTATTTGTCAGATGAATTCTGTTTGTAGAATTTGTCGTATGCTTTTCGTCCCATTTTGACCTGGTCGGAAAGATGTTCATCTTGAAAAGCCATAATATGCTTTCAGTCCAGTAGAGGCTAACATCAAGAAATCTCATAAATAACAATGAAATATTAGTCTGCTAACTGTTTTTTTCCTTCACCAACTGCAGAGGACAGTTAAGCATGCTAGTGTAGGGGATGATAACTCCACCGAAACTGTTGTCATCAATATATGAAAAGGAATTTTCTGTTAACGTTTTACGATGAGTCAGTTGTTGAATTTTTTTCTTAACACGGGAGAATATGGTATTAAACAGTCTTTGAGTAACTTCTTCTAACGGATGTTTATATTCATAGAAAGAAAGTATACAAGACTGTACAGTGTATATTTAATTTTTCCTCGTATTTTGTTAAGGGGATGATGGTGTATGGATTTGTGGCTGATTGGTCTAGGATCTTGACTTCTAATCACTTCTAGCTAACGGGTTTGAATCCTATAACAGTTACTGAAATTTTTGTAATCAAGTAGTATCACTAGTCCTTACACAACAGGCGTAGTTCATTAGCGGTTGTATGGAAACGCATTAGGTTGTTGAAAAGCATCTATAGGAGACGGCGTGTTTATAGGGAAGCACACACATTTATTGAAAACGCACTTCTGAGCACAGTGGTTAATAGAATAACAACTCCCCTAATATATGATTATTTCGAGCTGACGTCGGTTAGAGAATCATTGGAAGACCACGGGGGAAGTACTGGGTAGCTGTCTTATCCTAGTGTCTGGGTCTCTTTATCAGTACACGCCCACCTGAGGGGGTTGGAACCCAGGACCTTCTGATTACGAGGCGAGCCCACAAATCATTAAGCCACTGGGATCGCATCCAGTGGCACATGAATTCCAACTTCTGCCAGTTCGATATATATATATATATATATATATATATATATATATGTAAACCCTCTTCGTTCTGAGTGGAAGGTTTGAAGGTTCATTAGCAGTGGTGTTTATTTCTGTTATTTTTACGGTGTGGGGTTGCTAGCATCTCACCCAACCCTCTCCCATTATAGCCCCTAAAGCCTCAGGATGGTCGGGGGTGGGTGCCTTGCGCTGCGGGTTCGCCACCCCTCCGCACACCTATTGAAATGCTCCCATATGATCGGGCGTCTTACATAGCCTCTCCTGAGGAAGTCCTACTCACTGCCTTCACGTGGCGGAGGTGTTTTTCACCAAAGTGAGAGGGCGAAAGCGGATGCCCGGCGCTCTTCACCGGGTTGACTGTCCATTGGATGACAGTCTAGGGGAGATGGCTAAACTCTGATTCCAAACCTCCAACTACTGGCGTATGAAGCTCACTGGCAGACGCATGGAGAAAGGGCTTGTTGGATGTCCTGGATGTCTGGCCCCATTCAAAAAAGGCGTATGAACCGAACTTCGGTAATCGGTTGCCAATGGATAGTGGACTCCCTACTCCACTCCTACTGCCTTGTAGGTCACACTTGGTTGTGTAAAGGCTAGAGCTGCACTCTCAAACAAAAGGCCGAGCGGTTCTGGGGACATCACTCGTACCAAATTCCCATGAAACTTCATGAACTCTCTTCATCAGATCGCCGCGCCTCGGCAGCGATGATTCGAGATGTTCATGAAGCCGGCTCATCCTCCCGTAGGAGATAGCCGAAGTAAAGTAAAGTAAGTCTCCCATTATACCGGGGTTACTACCGGCTAACTGGGGGTAATAAGTGCTTCGGCCGGGGAGGGGGATCGAATCTCAGTGCCCTTTCACTGAATAAACCCCCTGACACGTAAGCCAATGAACCATATTTTCCTAGTTACCATAAGAGCATAAGTTTAACAAGAACAATAACAACCTTTTGAGTGATGAATAAGTATTACTAATTATTCCTCCCATGCATACATAAAGTGAAGTTTCTGGGCTAATATGTGTTGGAGAAAGAAAAAAAGGCGTTTAATGCAATAAAACATATTGTAATTACAATAGTGAATAATTTCTATGTGATAAATACATTTAAATATTTGTTTTTTCTCTTGTTGTTTGTAGTCCCGCCATTCATTGTTGAACATTGAATAAATTCAATCAACTGTCAATGTTATACTAAATCATTCAACCACTCAGTAGCTGTATACTACTGTAGTAGTAATTTAATAGTAATAAATAATGTATTACATAAATATCATATACATAAATGATGTATGAATGTAGTCTTTAACATTATGATGAAACACGGTTATCCTCCACATCGTAATCAACAACAATCAATAGTGTCATCACCGAAGGTATCATCACCACCATCACCATCTAATGCATCTATAAAAAGCCTTAATCATCATCATCATTATGTTTTAACTAATGAAAATCTAAATTTTAATTTTGATGAAATTCGTCAAGAATTAGCTAATCTCGGTGTTACTGGTTTAAGTGAAGACCAATTGGCTTGTTTAAAACATGATTTAGATTTGATAATTAGTCAAGAGAAACAAGCACTCCGGTATTGTTTACTATCATCATCGGAATCTAGGAATGATAGAAGGTTTGGAGATGACGGTGATGATCGTCATCATGATGGTGAGAGTTATTCCAATGATGATGATACGGAGGATGGCGACGACAACAGCAACAACAAGAAAAACAACACAATAGACAGTGAGAAAAAGAAATCTGTGTGTTATTCATCACTGACATCTTTATCCTCTTCACCGTCATGTTTTTCTATAACATCTGAGGAATTTTCAAATTGTGATGAGAATGCTGGTGACTATCATACTAGTAGTAATAATAATAACAATAATAGTAATAATAATTATGGTGATGAAAATATAAACAATGTGAGAAGAAATGACATTTCCTCAAAGAAGCAGATTGTTCCAAAGTTATCGCTGATGAATAAAACAACGAATCAACAATCCATAGAGGTAGGTAATTGTCTAATTTTAATGGTTATTCTTTTATCTATTGCATCATAAAATGATCACTTTTGTATTTTTTTTTTTCGGATACATGGCTGTCTACTCATCGTTAGCATTAGCACTCTGTGTTAGCGACTGTAAGCCATGCGAGGAGGTGTTTGTTAGTCGGTTGAGATACACATGATAAAGAATCAGTAGTAGATTAGAAATAGGAAGTGAAGTGGTAGAGCACGTTGACCGCTTCACTTACTTTGGAAGTACCATCAGCCCCAACGGGTTGATCTCTGACGAAATCTCAGCACGAATACACAGGGCCAGTTTCGCGTATGCCGGTTTACGCAGTCTCTGGCGTAGACGTGATATCCGACTATCGACCAAAGGGCGTGTTTACTCCTCAACAGTCCTCTTCGTTCTCCTTTATGGCTGTGAGACCTGGCCAGTGAGAGTGAAAGACATGAAAAGACCAGCTAACTGTCTTTGATCATAGGCGTCTGTGTTCTACCTCCCGCGTGAAGCAGTATAATAAGGTGAGCAATATTGAGGCTAGGCGTCGGGTGCTAGGTAAGGAGGGGAAATGAATCGAAGAGGCTATAAAGTTACATAGATTAAGATGGTTAGGCCACGTGCTGCGCATGCCTAACCATCGCTTCCCCCTCCCGATGGACATTACTAGCTGATATAGGTGCAGGTTGGAAAAGAGTAAGTGGTGGCCAAACAAAAACATGGCATCAATCAATCCCTGAAATCCTTGACAGTTAAACTGAGTCAGGTAGGGAGGGAGATGTAGACTTCTGGGTTGGGGCCCTCGGGACTCTAAGAATCAATGGCTGGAGACAATCGGTGACATGGCTCAAAATCGTTGTCAATGGCTTACGCAGATGTATTCAGTCTCTGTAATCTTTCATATTCCTTTCTACCATTACTCATTCTGTTTCACTTTTATACTTGTCAAAACTCTATTGATTCTCTTCACTCATTTTCTTGTCTATGTTTGTGTGCTATTTGGAACGTGGCAACTCGAAGTGTTGCATTTCGGTTCCAAGTTCTATGTTGAATCCAAAGAGAGAGAGATTTGTTTCACACATGCACACATTACTTAGCCTTTTTCCTTAATTTAATTTAATAATATCTCTTGAAATGGAAAACGAATCCAAAATTCCCTTTCGTTTCTTGATGTGGAACTAACAAGAAGACACGAGGGAACTTTAAGAAGATCAGTTTATTGGGAAACCCATCTGGAACGATCAGCTAACAAGTTTCTACTGTTGACTGCCTGTTGGAGGAAAACGAAATTTAATTAAATCCCTTGCCACTAGGATCCGATGTCGTCCTAGAAACAGAAGTAGATCTTCTGAAAGAAACCTTCATCCAAATGATGGATACCTACCAAGATTCATTGACAAGAATATCAAACCAATCAAAAGTTCAGAGAAACGAAACACCAATTGTTTCAAATACAGAAACTTTATATGAACCTGGATTTCATGAGAGACTTAACCTGCGATTTCCTTAGGAGAAGAATTTCAGCATCTTTGAGAAGAAGATTCTTTGCATCAGCGCTAGAAGTAGCGTTCTCCACTCATCCATTGGTCTGCAGAAGCCTTAAAGACGAGATTTGGCATATGATCACTTCTATGTGTGCATATATCAGTCCTCGTGTTGTTGTGGAAACAGGTAGATTGGTCGTTCGACGAGTATCCTGTCGAAAAGGATTTGGGAACACTATCCTGCATGGCAGCAGAAAAGTAGTAGTTGCTCTATAAGGAGTTCGATAATCAAACACTGTCCATTTCATCTCAACAAACGCCTCCTCCTATAAATCTATAAAACAAAGAACAGCATGATAAGCGCAATACACTTTCATCTCCTATGCATTTCTGAAGCTTTAGTCAGTCAGAAAAGCCGGAGCTCATAATGTATACAAATAAAAATTGTTCAACCACTCCTGCTACCATAGCAACAACCTTGTTGACTTCTACTGACTTGATTTTTGTTTATTTGTTTTTCTAATTCCTTACAGTTCTTGTATTGCTTCACGACTCTTACATAATTCCATATTTTCCTTTATTTCGACGTGCATCCTGATTGCAACTTATTCATTAGACTATTCATCTGATTACATAACTCTAATAAACTTATTCAACTCGTGTTATGTATTGACTAATGTTAACTACTATTTGTGTAAAAACTCATCACTTTTGTTGCTACCTCCTTCATAAAAAAATAAGGTGGTATAGAAATGCAATTGTACAGCTAAAGGGGAGAATGAATTCTGCAAAAAAGAGCCTCTTCATTGAATTCTTTTTTTGTTTCCACTAATGTTTGGATGGGAGTTATTCATGAATTGAAATATCTCGTTTGAAAGAAAATTTGATTCAGAAGACTGGTTACATTTTTTTGCGAGTTGATCACGGATTGATATCAGTTAGAGAACCATTGAAAACCAGGGAATACTGGACAGCGGCTGTTTCATCCTAGTTTGGGAATCATCGGAATTACGCACCCACTGGGATTCGAACCCAGGACCTTCCGGTTACAAGGCAAGCTCGTATTTCATTCAGTCACTGGGACCCGATTCAATGGCTCATGAATTCTAACTTCTACCAATTCGTGATTTAGCGCGACCCCAACCATTGTCGTTGGTGGGACATCCATCCACACACGTGACATCTAATTGGACCTCACTGATCACGACTTCTCACTAGCACTCCAGGAAACTCCATCCTATAGGAAGTCACTAGCGAGCATCAGATGCCGATGATTCCCAAACTAGGATGAAACAGCCGCTGTCCAGTATTGCCTGGTTTTCAATGGTTCTCTAACTGATATCAATCCGTGATCAACTCGTAAAAACATAACTAACCCTTACAAACCAAACTATAGAAGACTGGTTACATTGTTTTCACTTCAGTATTATCTCCTTCTTTTTGCGCGTTTTACTTTATGTACCGGTGTGAACTATAAGAACTAGAACCACTGGGCGATATTGTTGAATCCTATGTTGATACTGTGTTGTATCTGTGTGTTTGTAATCCATGTAGAGTAGTGAATAAAGCCAAGCCAATCAATCCATAAAATATTTAACTGTTGATTTGACCTTCTTAGGTAGGTGAAGATACCGCGTAATGGCTGGAGACTGTTGGTGATATAGCTCAAAATCGCTGTCGCTGGCTCAGATGTACCCAATCTTTCTGTTCTCAGACTCATCAAAGCCTCATTATTCTTTATGTAATTATTCTCTGCTCTGTACATTCCTAATGATTTTAGTTTCCCTGCATTGCCTTTACTTCCCTCCCCCACCCTTTTATGAATCGTGATGCGTTCACCTGCTGTACTTTTGTACAAAGTTCTATGCTGAAAGTTTAACTCAGTTAAGATCAGTGCAGATTATGCGGTTATGATCTGTGTGACAGGCATAACCTGGTGACACAAGTCAATTCATTTTCATCATTAATTTCTCTATCTATGATATTATTGATTAAAGTTGAGTTTTTCTGTTTCATTGATTGTCTGTGTCACAATGATTTCCAACTAATACTCAGATCAATCACTAGTCATTTATCTAATCACTTTCAAGTCACCATACTACACATGTAGCACACAAAGGTGGACAAAAGAGAGAGAGAAAAAAATAAGATTGTGTTTATAAGACAAGCTCGTAAACTATTCAGTCACTGCGAATTTTTGACTATTATCAATTCTTGATTTTAGCGTAACTGGCACACGGGCCAGTGTTACCATCGGTGGCGAGTAGTTGTCTTCACTCCCGACCTGGTGGTGGTGGCGGTGGCGGACCCACTGATCACGACTCTTCACTAGGCAGAGCTCCAGTCAACTTCGTCTTGTTGTATAGGGTCAGTCAATAGAGTGCACCAGGTTAATCTTCAGAGCTTGGTTACAGGATTTTTATCACGAGCTGACATTAGTTAAAGAACCATTGGAAAACCTGGGAGTACTGGACACCTGTTTCGTCCTAGTTTGGGACTCTTCAGGTGTACGCACCCAACGGGATTCGAACCCAGGACCTTCAGGGCTTGATTTGTTTTTAGTGTGATTACGGATTGATATTGAGAAAACTTTATTATTTATTCTTCACTTATTTTGAAAATAGTTTTCTTGTAACTGGCGTATATCAGGTTAAGAATTATAAGTGCTCAGTGTTTTGTACCATTTCAAAGTGTCACCATTTGATGAACAAACGCAATTCTGTACAAGATGATAAAGTAAACTGATATCTCAGTGTACAACTCTACACAAGTGTTGTTGTAAAAATCACAAATAAAGGTAGGCAAAGATGAAGAACTTCAGCGAAATTATTACAAAAGGAAGAATTGTACTAGAGAACATAATTACTTGAATTAAATATTTAATGAGGATTTGACGAATCTGGGTGAGTACATCTCTGTACCACAGAAAACAATTTTAAGCCACATCACCAATAGTCTGCATTCATTTGTTCTTAATTTCTCAGTGACCGTAGCCAGACAGTGTACATTACCCTACGTGACTCAAGTCAACAATTAAAGGTTTCATGAAGTGATCCTATGCTTTGGTTTGACTATCTCCAAGTCTTTTCCAGTATAATCTTGTATTTGCTTAGATTTTCCGATGAGAAAGGCAATGGCTTAGGATGAGTAACATGTGTTCCAATTATCATCTCAATCGATACAGCTTTACAACTTCATCGATTGACTTCCCCTCCTTATCTAACACTAAGCCTTACTTCATCAGGTGAGAGATCTGACTTACTGTTTTAAGTACCCCGTAGTTCTTGCGATTGAAACCGTTTCAACGATTTCAGTCTAGGATATTGAGTGGTATCATGAGCCTTCATACTATAATTGCGGCGGCTTATTTCCTGCTACATGGATGGTCCCCTTTAGGCCAACTGCATTCAGACAACCTAACATGAGACATTAAGTGCCAACACTTATGGTGAACCTTTTCATGTCTTCCACTTCCAATGGCCATTCCTCACAACCGTAAAGAAGCACATTTCATATCTTGATTTCGCATAAAGTGTGTACACATCGTTTCATTGTCTCATATAGTAGGACAAATGAATTACCGATTGTTTCTAAGGCTTTATTAATCAAATATCATATAGTTTTAGATTTTTTATCTTCTGATGTTGGGTGTATTAGAAATTCTATATTTATACCAATTTAGAATTCATCATAAACAAGTGACAATAGTTGTGAAGTCATTGAAAACCGACCAGTGAGCACAGGACAGCTGTTTCCTCCTAGTTTTGGATTCTTCGGTAGCATGCACCTATAGCTCCACCAGCAGTACAATTCAGCACCTTCAGATAACTAGCCGAGTGGGTTGGCCATTCTGATTGACTAAGTGGTTTTAACATAGAACTTTGCACATATGTGCAGCAGTTCAGCTCGTCACTCTCCCTCCATGTACCACACAAAACAAGAGAAGAGAGTAAAGAGGAGTTCAACGAGCGAGAGATAATGAACACAAGTGTGAGTGAGGGTAAAAGAACAGTAGTAATATGGAAGAACAATAGAATCTTAATAGATATGGGAAATCATCACAAAGAGTGAATGTATCTGCACCATTATTGAGAACGATGATTTTGAGCTAACCATATCACCAATTGTCTCCAGCCTTCATTGGTTCTTACCATCTCGAGCACTCCAACCAGGAAATCTACACCTGCTTTCGTGACTGGCCGGCATAAACTAACTGTTATGGGTTTCATTGACTGATGAATCCATGTTGGTCTTGTTTGACTACGACTAACTTTTTTCCAACTTGATCGATTCTATATCGACGAAGGCTATCGATGTTTAGGCATGCGTAACTGATGCCATAACTTCACAACCTCATCGATTGGTTTTCCACCCCTCCTTACCTAAAACTCGACCGAAGCCTCATCTGAATATTATTATATTATTATTACTGTTTCCTTTAATTCCTACAGGAACATAGGGCTTCAGCCGTGCGTCTCCATTCCGTTCCGTTCTCTGATAGAGTCTTCACCTGGCCCCAAGTCTGCCAACACTTTTTCATCTCCTCTTCACATGACCTCCTCCAAGTCACCCTTGCACTGACGAACAACTCGCCGCTTCCCTTTCGGGTTCCACTCGAGCAATGGCTTGTCTAGTGATGTCACTTGATGGTTTCCTCAGAGTATGGCCAATCCACCTCCATTTCTTCCTGCCTATTTGTTTCACAATCGGTTCCCGCTGTGTTGGGTCGCTCCCAGAGATCCCTCTCTGTTGCTGATCTATTCTGGCCATCTGATCTTGAGTATTGAGCGAAGACAACTGTTGATGAAGGTCTGTAGTTTGTTTGAGATGCTCTTTATGACGCGCAGTGCAAGTCTCTGATCCGTATGGTGAGTAGCACTGACTTCACATTGGAGTTGAAAATCCGGATCTTATTTTTGGTGCTGAGAGTTGTTGACCTCCACACAGACTTGAGAGTAGTGAAAGCTTGTCTTGCTTTCCCGATTCTTGCTTTGATATCCTCGTCATTTCCGTCCGCCTGTAGTTGAAAAGGCGATGCTTCCCAGGTCGGTAAAAGAGGTTGTTTTTTTTCAGGTTCCTTCCATTTATGCTGATTGCTGTCTGTTGTTGTTGTTGTTGTTGTCCAGGTATCTTGATTACCTCTTTTTTTCTCTATGTTCACCTGAAGTCCTTGCTATCTTTGATGCTTCTTCTGCTAACTTGTTACTTTTCACTTGCATATCTTCCAGTTTGTGGGAAATCAGGCATATATCATCGGCGAAGTCCAGATCCTCCAAGCTTTTTGTGTGAGTCCATTTTATGCTGAATATTACTCACCCTATTGCGTCTACTACCTATGGTCAAAGATAGCTAGTCAGACTTTTCATGTCTTTCACCTTCAATGACCATGTTTTGCTCACAGTCATAAAGGAGAATGGAACAGCTGACCTGTCAGTCACTTGGATGAAATTCTATGTCTCCTATTATTTCTCAAAGTATCATTTATTAGTCGTAGTCATATTATTTGTTATTACTATTAGAGTATGAATGCTGACTTGTTCTAGACTTCTCTTCAATGCGTATCATTTATTTCTCCTTTCAATACAGAATAAAAATTTTGTTAAATATCGTCAACTAATGAAAATGAACGGTCAGAATGATCACAGTAACAGTGCACTGTTAAATGAGAATGCAACAAAATCCTCGTCTTCCTCCCTTATACGAAAATCACAAAGATTAACAAAATTCAACAATAGAAATTCAATTGATTTCCTTTCACCAAAATATACAAATTTATCTGGAAAAGCCAAGACTGCTGGTGCTGATAATTATAATAAGAAATTGGTTGATAGCAATCATCATTTATATGAAAATGAGACGAAACATTCTACAACTGATCCACAATTGGCTACAGATATTCTTTCTTCAACAATGTATGATATGCGAACATCTTATCTGTTATCGAATGATGATGTCAAAGATGATGAGGATAACGACGATGATGTGGTGGCAGTGGTCGAAGGCGATATTAATAAGGAGAATGACGGCAGTGGCACACCGCCACGACCACTACCACCGACATCATTATCAAGTAAAGCATTTACACGATATCAACAGCAACGACAAAGGCAAGAGCAGTCTCATCGAACAAATATTGATCAAAAATACCACCACAACCACCACCACCATCATCAACATCAACATCATCCACACCAGGAAGAACAGAATCAATTACAACAGACTGTAGATGCACAATATCATCATCATCATCATCATCATGACAAGTCTAGCGTTCAACCAATTCATCCAGAATCTCGTATTATAAAGTTTAAGCCTATTATACGTAAGTTTTTTTTACTGATCTTAATTGTTTACGTACTTATTTAATATGGTGTTGTAGATATCGCGCAATTTTTTGTCTGGTAAATTATTAATTCAATAATTCAATAGTCATAAAGTTGGAAGTAAGTTCATGTGTGTGTAGGCTTGCAAGGATTTGATTGGTTACAGGATTTCATCACATCAGCTGACATCGGTTAGAGAATCATTGGAAAACCACCGCTAACTGTTTCATGCTAGTGTTTGGAACTCTTCAACAGTAGGTTGGGTGTGAGGAACAAATACTCGCTACCGATGACATTGTCTGGTGTACCAGTTGCGCTATACATTGGATTGGCAGAAGTTGGAATTCATAGGCTGGTTATTGAATCGGGTCGGTGTCCGTCAGGGATGCCTATTTTTCCCATTCCTATTCAATTTCATCATTGTTGTACTAATGGACTTAACCTTAACTCACTTCAGATACTCAGGGATTGACTTGCTACCAGGGAATAGTCTCGTTGACTTAGAATATGCAGACGATATAGTCCTTCTAGGCGAGGACGCTGACAAAATGCAGAGTCTTCTGAACACCTTGAGTTGCAATCTACGAATGTTTGGCATGCGATTCGCCCCTGTAAAATGTAAGATGATGTTGCAGGACTGGACTACACCGATCCCTAGATTAGAAATAGGAAGTGAAGTGGTAGAGCACGTTGACCGCTTCACTTATTTGGGAAGTACCATAAGCCCCAATGGGTTGATCTCAGACGAATACAGAGGGCTAGTTTCGCATATGCCAGTTTACGCCGTCTCTGGCGTAGACGCGATATCCGACTATCGACCAAAGGGCGTGTGTACTGCTCAGCAGTGCGCTCTGTTCTCCTTTATGGCAGTCAGTGAGCCCTGGCCATTGAGAGCAGAAGACATGAAAAGATTAGCTGTCTTTGATCATAGGTGCCTGCGTTCTATCTCTCGCGTGAAGTGGTATAATAAGGTGAGCAATATTGAAGTAAGGCGTCGAGTGCTAGGTAAGGCGGGGAAATCAGTCGACGAGACTGTGAAATTACATCGACTGAGATGGTTAGGGCATGTGTTACGTATGCCAAGTCATCACCTTCCTCGACGGGCATTGTTAGCTGATATAGGGCCAGGCTGGAAAAGAGCTAGCGGCGGTCAAACCAAAACATGGCACCATTCAGTGAAATTCACAACAGTTAGTCTAAGCCAGTCATGTAGGAAGGTGTAGACTTCCTGTTTGGGGTCCTCGGGACCGTAAAAACCAATGATTGGAAACAATTGGTGACATGGCTCAAAATCGTTCTCAGTGGCTAATGCAGATGCATCCACTCCTTGTGACTCATGATTTCCAATGAAAATGTTTTGTTCTTCGTTATTACTATTCCTTTGTCTCACACCTCTGTTTACTGTCTATATTATGCATTTCTCCTACTTTCTTCTCTTGCTTTGTGTGCTACATGGAGTGTGGCGACTTGAACTGCTGCATATATGTGCAAAGTTCTATGTCGAGTACAGACAGGCAGACAGACAGAATCGGGTTACAGTGGCTTGTAACTGCAAGTTCTTTAGTTCGAATCCTATCGGTGTGAGCCTACTGCCGACAAGTCCCAAGCACTAGGACGAAACAGTTAGTTGTCCACTTCTCTCTGGTGGTTTCCCAATGGTCACTTAACTATTGGTAGCTCATATTTAAATCCTTGGGAGTAAGTGTTACTTTTTGTATAGTTGACTACCTAAGTGAACGTTCCGCATGTTGAAGTTCATAGGCTGATGTGATATTTGAGACACTAAAATAATATTGATTAGTAAAGGTGAAATTTATTGGTGATTCTCTACTGATCACTAAAATCATCTGTACGTGTTCCAGACTACTTTTTAGTTTGTTAAGTAGTATAAATGGAAAGAGTGTAATTATAATAAGGTAGAAGGAAAATAAAAGCAAAGCATAAATCCGTTTCCAGGTGAGATATTCATTTTCAAAGTGTGAAAGACAAAAAGAGGTCGGGCGATTTATCAGTTATATTTCTTTTGAAACAAGCAATAAAACAGGATTTAATGAATTCATTAAATTTCGGTAGAACTCGTCAGCTGAACACTCTACATACACGGATATTTATACTTTTGAAGTTACATTGGGAGATATAGGACTGATAAGTAAACAAACTACATTGAATTAGTCATGCAGAAAGACAGGTGCGAATGTTTTTCCAGGTCATGTTCAAATAGATAAGGGGAGAGAGAGTATGAAAGACTAAAATTAAGATAAATTGCATTACGCTTCAATTACATCACTTAGATAAACAATTAGAGAATATAACAAGAACTGCAAACAGAGGAATATCAATAGTAATAGTTATAATAACAATAATAATAGTGTTGAAGTGAGTTAAGATAGTGCTACTGACAAAAGATAGTTTTAAATGAATCAAGAATAATGATAATAATAATTAGAGGTAGAATTATAAGTGAAACTTATTACCATGGTAGATTCAGAGTCACGACCATCTCCTTTTGTACACAGAGACCTGGTTTGTAAACTCGAATTGCCAAAGCCTCTGCAATTGCAAGCATCTTCTTGTTTCTTTGTCTGCTGACAATAACAGTGAATGACTTGACTGCGTCGATATCATGTCCGTAGTCCATAAGATGTTTTTTTATTGAGGATTTTGGCACTTTGCACTGAGCTGTTTTCAACCATTTTGGCAAATGCTCCATCATACGAGTAGACAATCTCCTTTCTGTAAGACCTATGTATCTGCTTCCACAAACACACTCAAATTGATATACGCAGTTTGAAGTGTCGAGGATTGGCGACTGGTCTTTCCCAGATTGTTGAAGCACTCGCCTAGTGGTGTTAAGGAAAACAAGTTTTGCAGCATAATAAGTTCTCTTGATGGCTTTGTCGAGTCTTCGTTTGACTACTTCTTGTACATCATCTCCTTTGGATGGCAAATTGATATAGACAGCTTTCTTCGGAAGTGTTTGAATTGTTTTGCAGGGGGTAATTTCTTTAGAGTATTTATTAATGAACTTCTCAGGATATCCATTCTTAGATAAGATATCCTTCAAAGATTTTATTTCATGCTCAATAGAACTGTCAGAACAAAGTTTTCGTACTCTATTGAACAGTGTTCTGACTAAGTTCTTTTTATACTGGATTAGAACAAAGCTCTTGAAATGCATGCACTGTCATGTCCATGAGGACTTTCTAAATATAGATCTTTCGATTGTGCCATCATTCATTTTCGCCAGAAAAACGTCTAGGAATTTAATAGTATCATTTTCCTCGTATTCTACTGTGAAATTGAGATTTGGATGGCATGAGTTGAATTTTATCAGCATGTCTTCGGCTTTTGATCTGCTTCCACAGGCAATAAAAATGTCATCAACATATCTTAGGTATAGATCCGTTTCTTGTATATGTTGTTGCAGGGTACCGGTTTCTAGGCGTGACAAGAATAAGTCAGCGGAAAGTGGTCCCAATGGGCTTCCCATTGCGACACCATCAACTTGACGGGATAGACACCCGTCGAATTTGAATTGGACATTTCCTCTATTCCGATGTTGGAATGGGTATGTCTTCAGCTTCTTTACATATGAAGTCGATAGTCTCAACGACTGGCACATTTGTGAAGAGGTAGGTAACATCGAAAGAGACCAGATACTTATCAGATACATTGAAATCTTTGATTTGCTCGACAAACTGGAATGAATCAGAAACTATATACGTTTCGAAACGTTTTCACAAGGGCTGCAACAATTCACATAGCCACTGTGCTAATTAGTGGTATGGTGAGTTTATCATAGACAGTATTTGTCTTAACTGTGCTTCTGGTTTGTGTATTTTGACGCTTGCGTATAATTTTGGGATTTATGACCCAATGAGAAGGGATTGGTCGAGTAGCATTCCTGCGTTACGCCATATACTGTCAGTCAATTACTGTTTTCCTTAACGATCTTTTATCAAGAGTAAATATTTTGCAGTCAAATATGCTAAATATTCTGTGAATCAAATCCACAATTTTTGCAAATAGTTGTCAGTGTTTACTTTTGAGAATAATTCTCAGTTTACACAGTTTGAGGGGGGGGGACCGAGATTACTGAGGTCATAATATGTGATCTGCTTGATACCACCACCATAAATGGTAATCACGGAAGCAAGTATTATCTATTCATAAAACTAAATACTACTGATTGATTCGGATGAGTAGTAGTAGTGTTTGCTAATCGGTCATATCAAAGCGATCTAAACATTGGACGTTCGTTTCTCTGGTTTTGCGATTGAGCCCAAAAGCGGTTAACTCAATTTCACGCAGTTCAGAGATAGAGCGCTGAATCAATTCAAACCGTTGATTTAAGAATATAACTTGTGCACTGTGGTAGAGTATAATTCCACTGTGCGAGTAAAATTTATTTTGATAAATTCTCAGTGTTATACAGTAATAAGTACTGATGAGAACGTCTCGAGCACAATTTATTACTCTACTTGTTGTCATCATATCAAGGCACTCACTCACATAACTTTGCAACTTCGTTTATATAATTCCATTATTCTCCATTGGTTGATTTGATTGGTAGTAGTATATTCCATATTTCCGGTATGAGGAATGATTCATTCCTATTGCATGTGTTGGGTGTAGATTCGATGAACAAAGATTCAGTAATCAACCTCTCTCTCCACCTACCTAGATTACGTTTTAGAATTTTAACCATCTCACACTCACCCTGTTGTGTAGTTGTGCGTTGTTAATGCATGCAGTGCAATCGCTGAGCTTTTTTCTAAATTACTTATCTTCTCAAGGTCAACCACTCTAACCTTAGCTAAATTCTTATGTTCCGACGATATGACTGCCCCCGATCTACTAGTTTGACCTATGTAGTTGACCTTATTCACAGTCATTGCAAGGTATTTTGCAAAATATATTATTTTGTCTAATTGGGTCAACCCACAGGGTTCTCTAACTTACAGAGCTTTTCCTGTCTGAATGAGTTTGTAGGTTTGAATGCCAGTCTAATTCCTGCTTTATTAAGAATCCTATGTAGAGAGGGTCTCAGATGTCCCCCCTTATATGGGAAAACTACTACTGTAGGTGCGTCGGTGGCATAGCGGTTAGGACGCTCGCCGACCATGCACATGGTTCGGGGTTCGAACCCCGGCCGACGCACTCCTTTACCTCGCTAAGCCAGAAATAATGCTGGTGAAGAGGAAAGGTTTGGCATGAGGCTAGCAATCCCATCCTGTAAAAATTAAACACTGCGCCATAAACTTCAAGCCACTAATTTGAAGCCCTATGTTCCACTGGGGAACGTGAAGGATAAAAAAACTACTGTAGGTGCCATATGTTCTTTCTTATTTATGTTTTCATTATTAGTTTCACTATTATTTTATTTTGCTTTTGACCTTTTCTGATCTTCCTAATGAGTCTTATAGGATACTTCTTTGATACTAACGCTCCTTCTATCTTGTTTTATTTCATCACTTAGGTGTGCTGAAAATTTCACACTGTACCACTAGTACTGTTTCTGGAATTAGGCAAATTATTATTTTCTTGTAGTACTTAGTGCTACTGCTCGGTTTGTTAGACACTCAACAAATAAGCCAGCCTTCACAGTTAGATAACGTATGAGATGAATTAAAGTCTAAATATCAAACCACCTGATATATAGGCATAGTGTATAGACATTACATCCGGAATATTACTATCATTATTATTGTTCCTTTGGGTTCCTAGTGGAACATAGGGCTTCAACTACACGTCTCCACTTGCTTCTGTCTTCTGCTGTACTTTTCACCTACATCCATGTTAATCCATAGTGTTTCAACTCCTCTTCACACGATCTCCTCCATGTCACCCTTCGACGTCCCACTCTCTACTTCCCTTTCGGGTTCCACTCGACGGCCTGACAGGAATATAGTTATACTTTATTGAACGAAAACAAACCCTGAAAGATTCATTATTATTTTTATTTTTCTTGCTGTCTTTCTATTACAGTTCATAATCCTCTATCGTTAAGCTCATCTCAACAAACAAGTAGTATGACTGTAGCACCAGCATCCTGTTGGAGTAGTCAATCGTATTCTGATCTGCCTCAGTCACCATCAACAACAACAACAACAATTCAAGATAAATATTCCACATTGATGAATCCTATTGACAGACGGAATTCAGCTGTTCAGTGTTCATATACTGGTGATAATATCTGTAAGAAGTCTGTTAAACAGCCTATACAATCATCACATAAAGGAGAAGAAGATAAAGCAGAAGAAGAAGCGATGATGAAAACAAAGAAAACAATCCATCGAAATATTTTACCCAATACAGAAGACTGTGATCAGTATTCAGGTGTTATTGAAGTAAGCTTATGTGATAATATTATTTTCAAGTATTGGTTTTGTAGGGATTTGGTTAATTGCATGAAGGATTTCATCATGAGCTGACATTGGTTAGAGAACCATTGGAACACTTGGGAGTACTGGACAGCTGTTTCGTCCTAGTTTTGGACTCTTCATCAGTACGCACCTCCGGGATTCGAACCCAGGACCTTCTGGTTACAAGGCGAGCTCGTATACCATTAAGCCACTGGGACCCGATCCAATGGTCCTTGAATTCTAAATTCTGCCAATTCACGATATAGCGCAACCTCTAGCCAGTGTCTTCGGCGAGTATTTGTCCTCACACCCGACTTGCTGCACCCTACTGGTCACGACTTCCCACTGGAACCTCAGGTAACTACCTACCTGAATAGGGCCAGTCGCCAGTGAGCATCTCATTGATATTCAAGTATTGGTTTGTAGGGATTTGGTTGATTGGTTACAGGATTTCATCATGAGCTGACATTGGTTAGAGAATCACTGGAAAACCTGGGAGTACTGGACAGCTGCTTCGTCCTAGTTTGGGACTCTTCATCAGTACGCACCCATCGGGGTTCGAAGCACTATTTTTCTTTCAAGATTTCAATCACAGACTGATATCACAGTTGGTGAAGCATTGAAAACCTCCATGGTGTATTGGACTAGTGCTTGGGCTTCATCTCATGTTCTCTAGTGACTGGCTCTATACAGGACTAAGTTGACTGGCGTTCTAGTGAGAAATCGAGAGTGAGGGCAAATATTCGTCGCCACTGATAATGACATTGGATGGTGTGCCAGTCCCGCTAAAATCACAAATTGGTGGAAGTTAGAATTTATGGGTGTCGGTGGCACAGTGGTAGAATGCTCGTCGATCATGCATGTAGTCCGGGGTTTGATCCTCGGACGACGCACTCGTTTACCTTGGTAAGCCAGTAATAAGGCTGCTAAAAAGGAAAGGTTAGGCATGAGGCTAGCAAACCCATCCTTTAAAAATAAACACCACTACTACAGAAACTTCAAGCCTCTAGCTTGAAGCCCTATGTTCCACTGGGAACGTGAAGGAATAACCACAAGGAATTCATGAGCTGGCCAGTGGATTAGGTCCCAGTAGCTGAATGTTCTACGAGCTTGTTGTTGAAAACAGTACTAATATCTGAATACTTAGTTGTCTTGGCAACTGTTTTACATTCCATTTAGACACTAACTGCCTTTCGCTTGTCGAATTTATGAGTTTTTTGGTGAAATATAACCCCTGTTAATTGGGTAAGGAAATAATATAATATACACTTTCCATCCAAACTTAAACTATCGGTGGTGGACATTTATCCTCACTTTCGTTTAAAATGGGAAGATTCTTTTAAACGGTATATTAAGTGGAGTTAGTCGTCAATACGGAATCACATCAGTTAAAGTGTAGCAAGTGAAAATCAAATACTCAACTATACTAGCAATCATTCAATTACTCACAAACGAAACTGTGTGCAGACATTGTTTAAAAGAGTTCAAACACATTGTGGCACTCCAGAGTTGAAAAGAATGGAAGAAAAGTATCTACAAACGGTCTTCAAAAAGAATTGTTATCCACAAAATTTCATCAAAAAGTGTTTAAAGTCGAATCAAAACACCAACAAGAAACCATCATCAAAGACCACAAGAAAATTCATTCTACCATACATGAGAAATATCTCTGAAATAACACCTAGAATACTGAAACCGCTTGATATAGATATAGCACACAAACCAGTAAAATCGCTTAATTCGATATTATGCAAACCGAAAGATCCAACAGAAAAAGGGGATAAAATTAATACCATTTACAAAATAAATTGTATGAACTGCAACAAGCATTACATCGGTGGTCGAAGTGGGCGTCCCCTTCAAATCAGAATCCAAGAACACAAATCAGCCGTGAAAAGACACGATATGTATTCTTTAGTATCAATGCATATAGACAATTATGGACATCAATTTGATTGGGATAATGTCAAAATCTTAGACAGAGGAAACACCAAAAGTTCAGTCAGGGAATTCCTAGAAGCCTGGTACTCAAACGAAAATGCGATTAACAAACACGTTAATATAGACGAAATATACCAACTAATAAAAAGTAAATCAGGTGACCAGAAAGTTTAAAATCCAAGTCAATAGAAAATGGTCAATACACATGTAAAGATAGTTACCGGGAGACGCAATTATATCACTCATGAAGAAATTTAAATCATTTCACTTTATGCTAAATATTGCGCTGAAGATGTTGTCCAGAAGGACGACGAAAGCTTCGCAACTAAACCAACCAACTCAGAGAACACTATTAATTGCAAATCATCCACCTGAGCTACAAATCTTCTCTATTATTTCAAAATCAGTTTTTTTTACGTGTAGGAGAGGATTCAGGATATTTGGCTTTGGTTTTCAAACTATCCCATTGATAAATATATATACAGAAAGAAAACTGAGAGTGCAGTATCCTATTTTTAATTCTTAGGAATACGAATACTTGGAGCGAAGCGTATGCTCATTTTGAGTCTCATTTTACAAAAGATTTCTGCATCACACTAACACATCATCAGTCAATCTATATTTACAGCGAGCTGTTTCATATACTGCCAACCTTAATGATCTTTCTACATTAAAAGACGAGATCCCCGTGTAGAATAAGTAGTCAGTTTCGTTACAAATTAAAAACAGTTTGTGATATATATTCATTTGAGGTTAAGTAATTTCATTTTCCAAGGTACTATAGATTCGCTGATGGTAATGTCGAGCATAACAAAGAACAATGTTGCAGGTGTTGATTTACAGGAATTTAATTGGTTACAGGTTTCATCATGAGTTGATTTCAGTAAGCGAACCATTGAAGAACTAGAGTGAACTACTTACTTTACTTCGGCTATCTCCTACGGGAGGATGAGCCGGCTTCATGAACATCTCGAATCAAGAGAGTTCATGAAGTTTAATGGGAATTTGGTACGAGTGATGTCCCCAGAATCGCTCGACCTTTTGTTTGAGAGTGCAGCTCTAGCCTTTACACAACCAAGTGTGACCTACAAGGCAGTAGGAGTGGAGTAGGGAGTCCACTATCCATTGGCAGCCGGTGACCGGAGTTCGGTTCATACGCCTTTTTGAATGGGGCCAGACATCCAGGACATCCAACAAGCTCTTTGTCCATACGTCTGCTGGTGAGCTCCAGTGAGCTTCATACGCCAGTCGTTGAAGGTTTGGAATCAGGGTTTAGCCATCTCCCCTAGACTGTCATCCAATGGACAGTCAACCCGGTGAAGAGCGCCGGGCATCCGCTTTCGCCCTCTCACTTTGGTGAAAAACACCTCCGCCACGTGAAGGCAGTGAGTAGGACTTCCTCAGGAGAGGCTATGTAAGACGCCCGGTCATATGGGAGCATTTCAAGAGTGAACTGGACAGCTGTTTCTTCCCAGTTTGAGACTGTCCAGAGATACACACTCACCGGGGTTTGAAAGAAGGAAGGAAGGAAGGCTCATAGATTGTTCAATTATCCTGTACTCCCAGCTGGTTTTCCAATGAATTTCTAACTGATATCAGTTCACAATCGGACCTGTAACCAATCAAATCTCTGCAAACGAACACTTGATCATTTAATGTTTTATCTGTTAACGTGTGCTCAATTCTACACGCTGCATTCATCAGGATCGCTTGACACAGTTCTAGCAGTAGAACCGAATCTAAGTCTTTTTGATAAAACTGTTTCTATTTACTATTGACGTCTTACATTGCATCATCTGACTGCAAAGATTTGTCTTTACTGAAAAGTTCTGTTCTAACGATAGAATATATGAGTATTTGACAATGGAATTACTTATCGGTAACTCGATATACCAGATATAGACAGAATACATCTCCTGTATATTAGAATCACGCTTTGCACATATCTTCGATATTTTGCTACCTCTGTATTGTGCTTCTTTGTCTTCCTTTCATGTTTTCCATGTTGTTTTTTTCGCAAGCATCGTCCAAATATTTATTTTCTTCACCATTAAATCCATCTCTTCACTGCTCCATTCCATGTTTTTGCGGATCGATATGCATATTTATATCTGTATCTATAAACTACTTATTAAGTTTCGTCAGTAGCATACGCTGTAGGTGTACTGCAGTTCCCCTCATCACCTACTTGGGCGGCATTTCAGTCATTTATTCAGTGGACTAAATCTGATTATAGGTGGAGGACATGTGTGACATATGTCTAGCTATCGCCTTCCTCGACCGAAGGGAGATGTCATCTGACATAGGGTCAGGTTGGAAATGAGCCAGTGATGGTCAAACCAAAACGAACATTGCTTCATCAGTCAATGAAATCCACAACAGTTAGTTTAAGCCGGTCACGTAGGAAGGTGTAGACTTCTGTCTGGTTGAGGTCCTCGGGACGGTTAACATTAACTGCTGGAGACAATCGGTGATATGGCTCAAAGTCATCGTTCTCAATGTTGGCGCAGATGCATCTACTTGTGACTTATAATAATCAGTAAAACCATGTTGTTCTTCCATATTACTATTTGTTTTGCCTCATATTTCTGTTTATTATCTCTGTTTCAAATCTTTGTTCACACTCTTCTGCTTTTTGTACTACGTGGAGTGTGGCAACTCGAACTGTCGCACATTGGTGCCAAGTTCTATGTTGAAAACAAACAGATAGACAGTCGGATTATCAGTGGAAAGTGGTTTATTTTGTATAATTTATTTATATGAATAATTTGCTAATGCTGGTGTATTTCTATATTGAAATTTCATAGAATTATATACTTGAACAAAGTCGTGGAATCAAACACGATCCAAGCCATGAGGTGTTACTTGCACCAGTATTCATTAAATCAGCAACGACAGCACCAACAACAACAGCTACAACACCGTTGACAAATAAAAAATCTCATCCATCAACACAAACTTCTAAAGATCCGCTTTCTAAGGTGAAAACATTCTACCAACGTTATCAACAATCACAAAATCCTAACCATAATCATCAACTTCGTCAAGAATTACAGTCGAAGTTTGCATCAACACCTCAGGGACAATATGTACATGTTATTAATGCTGGTACTAAAAAGCCATCAACTTCTAATTCATTAACTCATGGTGAAGATGATGATGATGATAACATTTCGCCGTCGACAACAACAAACACAAGGAATAAATTAACCTCAAGGAAAATTGATCCTTTAATGAGTACTTTGCCAACAAAACGAAATATTTCATCTGCCACATCAAGAAGATCAGCACGATTTTTAGATGATCCTGTTGATCAAGTTCATAGTTTACCACAACGACCTAAATCATCATGTCTACAGTATTATCAAAAGCCAAATAGTTTACATCAAAACTTTTATGATACTCAATCGGCATACAGTCGAAATTCACAAGTAAGTTGGCTTTGTTATCGGTCTCAAAATCTGGTTTTTATCCATAAAGACTTTAACTCTGTTGCTTTTGAGCCATATAGGAAGGTGTAGACTGTGTATGGGGGGGAGGGGTGGTTGTTCTGGAGACACTAAGATCCAGTGACTGGAGACTGTAGGTGATATGACGATATGAATTTGCATCAAAGCAAGAAAAAAACACAATTTGCAGCATAAAATGTAAATATTCTATTTTGAGGCTTCTCTTCAACTACAGACAATTCAAAATACGCAATAAAAAATTTTTTTTATTGTTCTCTTGCGTCCCAAGTAGAACATAGGGCTTCAACAGCATATCTCCACTTTGTCCTATTCTCTGACGTCCTCCATAGAGTCTTTCATCTCCCCTCACAGTCTCCTCCATGTCACCGTCGGACGATCCAATCGTCTTCTTCTTTCAATCTGGTTCCACTCGATGGCTGACCTGGCTTGCGATGTTACTTAACGGTCTCCACAGGATGCATCCTATCTATCTTCAGTTGTTGAGCAATAGGTTCTTGACTGGTTCTTTCTGAAAGTTTCTTGTTGTTAATTCTTTCTGACCAGCTATCTGATCTTCAGGATGAATTCAACGATGTTGGCAGCTGTTTATAAAAGTATGCAGCAGGCTTTTTGAAATGATTTTAATGACGCCTTCGCTAATTTTCCAACCCATATAGAAAAAACTGACTGACGTAACATCGCTGTTGAAAGTCCGAATTCTGTTGTTTGTGCTGATTAGTGCAGTGCTGAAGATTTCCAAACTGATTTCAAAGTGAGCGACGTCTATCTTGTCCTTCCCACTCTACATTTGACAACCTCATATGTGTGGCGTGCCTGTATTTGAGACGATGCCGCCTAGATCAGTGAAGTGCCCGCTCAAATTCCTCCCGTTGATAGTGATTTGTGCTCCCTGTTGTTGTTTGTTGGTTACTTTCATTACCTTTGTCATCTGTATGTTCACTTAAGGTCCTGTCTGTTCTGCCTTTTATTTAAGCTTGCTGATTTTTACCTGTAAGTTTTCGAGTTTGTGTGATATTAGACAAAAATTATCCGTGAAATCCAGATCTTCTATAGCCGTCTTATCGGTTTAACGTATTCCTGTTTTCCAACACCCACTCCCACAGTATCCCGCATAATCTAGTCAACCACAATTAGGAACTTCATCGGTGACAGTATTCAGCTTTGTATCACTGCCGTATTCACTCCATAGACTTCTCTGAGTTTTCCGTAGTGGACCACTTGACATGTATCATTGTCATATAATTGTTGAGTGAGGTTGATAAAGATTTTAGGCATTCCATATTGTTGAATTAATTTCCAAATCACTTTGCGGTTAATGACTTTTCAAAGTCGATGAAACCGATTGACGTAGAGATCTAACTGCCATTCTCTGCTCTATTCTATGATGATGCTTAAAGTTGCAAATTGATAATCACACGATTCGCCTTTCCTAAATGCAGCTTGTTCCGGTCGGTGGGATGGAATTCTGCGTCCAGTGCATCTTTTATTCTCTCCAGGATTACTTATTATTTTCCTAGGCCTGGACAAGAGCCTGATTCTGTGCCAGTTTTTGCAAAGTCCTAATTATGTCTTCCTTCTATGGTACTTTGACAAGGCAACCAACTTTTTGTTCCAATCAGTAGGCATCTCTTCTACCTTTAAAACTTTTGAAATAAACGAAATAAAAATTAACACTCTGTATTCTATTCAGCACTGCGTTGGCAGCACAACGGTAGAGTGCTCGCCGACCACGGATGTGATCCGGGGTTCGATCCCTGGCCGACGCACTCCTTTACCTCAATAAGCCAGTAATAAGACTGGTAAAAAGGAAAGGTTGGGCATGAGGCTAGCAACTCCATCCTGTAAAAATAATCATCACCGCTACAGGAACTTCAAGTCTGTATCTTGAAGCCCTATGTTCCACTGGGAACGTAAAGGACTAAAAAAATTCGATTCAACAGAAATTTGGCATATGGAATATCGTTAAAAAAGCAACGAGTTAAATGTCATGGCATAATCAATTATGACAAATAACATGAAAGGAAAGTAGTCACCTATCATAAGCTTGGAACAGTGTTCGGGAAGTTTCGGTAGTTGACTCAACAGCAAAAACATTAATTAATCAGCGACGTTGTGGAAACAGGATTACGTAATATTATATAACTAAACACTTAGAACAGCACGGATAGAGAAGATTCGTTTGGTATTTGCCAAATTACGCCATTTCTGGCTTAATAGACGTGATATTCAAGTGTGTACTACTGCTCAACAGTTCCCTCCGTCCTCCTCCTGTATGGGTGTGTGTGAGATATGGCCATTTGAAGTGGAAGACATGAAAAACCTGGCTAGTTGTCTTTGGTCATCGCAGTCTGCATCCTATCTTCCATGTTAGGTGGTAGTTTTAATAGAGTTATTGAGGTTAGACTTCGGTTGAATGGTAGGTAAGGAGGGAGGGGAAAATTAATCGATGAGGTTGTGTATTTGCGTCGATTGAGATAGTTGGGACATGTGTTACGCATAGCTGCAAAGTCATCGCCTTCCTCGAAGGGCAATGTTAGCTGACATGGGAGCGATCAGGTCAGAAAAGAGCTAGTGGTGGTCAAATCAAAAGTTGGAATCAGTCCATGGAAATCATTGACAGCTAGTTTAAGCCAGCCAATCAGTCACACAGAGAGGCGCAGGCTGCCAGTCTTGTTGGTTGAGATCTTTGGGGTGTTAAGAACCATTAAAGACTGGAGATGATTGGTGATATAGCTCAAAATCACCGTTGTCAATGGCTGGTGCAGATGGATTCACTCTTTGTGACAATTTGCCATATCCAATAAAACTCTATTGTTCTTCCATTTCACTATTTTTTGCCCTTACTCATACAAATGTTTATTACCTCTCATTCTTTGTTTTGTGTGGTACATGGAGACAGAGTGGCAAGTTGAACTGGTACACGTCTTTGCAAAGTGGTTCAATGTTAAAACCAGTCAGTCAGATATTTAGAAGTGATCTGAAATAAATTGAATTAAAATTGGAGGGGCGTTCAAAAAAAGATCATTATTGTAATATTAATGAAAGCATTATAGGAAAAATCGAAAAAAAGAGAATACATAATTACGTAATAACTTTAAAAAGTTGCTTCCACTTTAAACTAAGATTGATTACACTTTCTTTCTGTATACACAAGTTTGGTTTAAGTGTTGCTGCATAGAGTTAAATTCAGCGAATTGAAGTAAAGTTGAATTTCTTTGTTAGTTGATAATGGTAAATCTCGTTTCAACAGCCAATTCATACACTTTTTGTGCAAAGTTACACGTGAACTTCTCTGATGACTTGCGGTGAACGCAAATTTGGACTTTTCGGAATTTTCTCCTTATTCATTGACAGCTGAATTTTCGATTATGTGTTGTAGCTGGGTCCCTCAATTCAGATTACTCTCCGATGACGTTGAATGTGGGGTGGGTTGTGCTATATGTCGCGAATCGATACAAGCTAGAATTCATGCGCCATTTGGTCGGGTTTGGGTCCCAGTGGCTAGTTGGCTGGCTAGTTTACGAGCCCACCTTGTAACTGACAGGTCCTGGGTTCGAACCCCAGCGGGTGCTTACTGATGAACAGTCCCTTGGTTTTCCAATGGTTGTCCGACTGCTGTCAGCTCCTGATCATATCTGTAACCAATCACATCCCTGCAAGACACTACTTGAAACAGTACTGATTAGGTACTTTACTTTGCTTCGGCTATCTCCTACGGAAGGATGAGCCGGCTTCATGAACATCTCGAATCAAGAGAGTTCATGAAGTTTAATGGGAATTTGGTACGAGTGATGTGCCCAGAACCACTCGGCCTTTTGTTTGAGAGTGCAGCTCTAGCCTTTACACAACCAAGTGTGACCTACAAGGCAGTAGGAGTGGAGTAGGGAGTCCACTATCCATTGGCAGCCAATGACCGGAGTTCGGTTCATACGCCTTTTTGAATTGGGCCAGACATCCAGGACATCCAACAAGCCCTTTGTTCATACGTCTGCCGGTGAGCTCCAGTGAGCTTCATACGCCAGTCGTTGGAGGTTTGGAATTAGGGTTTAGCCATCTCCCCTAGACTGTCATCCAATGGACAGTCAACCCGGTGAAGAGCGCCGGGCATCCGCTTTCGCCCTCTCACTTTGGTGAAAAACACCTCCGCCACGTGAAGGCAGTGAGTAGGACTTCCTCCGGAGAGGCTATGTAAGACGGCCGGTCATATGGGAGCATTTCAAGAGGTGTGTGGAGGGGTGGCCAACCCGCAGCGCAAGGCACCCACCCCCGACCATCCTGAGGCTTTGGAGGCTGATTAGGTAATTAGAACTCACTTACTCGAAACAGACTTCTCGTTCACCCGTCTGTGAATTATTTTTATTGTGTACCAGTTGTTGGCGCTATCCACTTGCCTAGGATAAAGTAGATGAGGTAGAATTCGAAACTTTGATTTATTTGGTAGTAGCCGATTGCTTAAGCCAACTTACCGCACATTCACCTCAACAAATAAAACCATATACTGTTGTATGGTTTATAGATATGTCTTATCTTAATGTAAGATAATATACACTATACATAATTCATTATTCAATCCATATGCCTTGGATTGTTTTATCTGTTTTTGTTTTAATACTAGCGATCTGGATCATCTAGTGTTGTTACACGTCGACGACAAGATCCTGTAGCTCGATATCATGCCTATCAACGTAGTTGGTTATTACATTCAACACCTGGTGAAAATGCTCGACGTGTTCTTCGTTGGAATATTAAAACTGCAATGATGCATAGAGAAGTACCGCTGTTACAGCGTAATTCAGCTGAAGTTGCCCGTCTTTTAGGTCCATATGCATCAGCTTATTTAGAAGAAGAAAGAAAACGACGAATTAAAGCCTTAAAAGTGAGTAATACCCGTAACATTTTTGGTTTCTGCCTTTCTAATTAGTAATACTTAACACACTATTGCTACTTAACGGAAGAAAAAGGGGGTTTGAATAGAATCCATAGCCAGCTACCACCCAGAACTCAAACCAGAATGTGAGTCAAAGTTATCCGGAATCATTTGTACATGTAACGACCACATTTATGCGGTTATATATATTTTTTTATTACAGCTTGATGCCACACCGTATTTTCAGTACAAGTATGGAATTTTCAGCATGGGATATCGGTGGCCCAATTTTTCAGGCCGACCATAGATGTCGGGTGTGCGTCGGCAGCTGATCGAACCCCGGACCATGTGCATGATCGGCGAGAGTCCTAACCACTGTGCCACCGACTCACATGCGGTCTGAACGCAAGAAACTGATTTCCAATTTCCACTGTATAGTCAACAAAACATTGTTGAGACACACGCAATATCAAAATGTCCTAACACAGGGGAAAGACAATTGTTCTCCAATATGTTAGCGGTTCTGTTAAACAACAATAACATTAAAACCATTGGGTTGGAGGGGGAATATTTATTACAATGAAATTTGACTAATTCGACACCCAAAATTATGCAACCAACATACTATTTGTTGGTTTCACTTTCCAAGATTGATAATATTTGTATATAGTGCACTTACGTGTAATAACAGTCGATTGCTTCCACCTGCTTTGACCAGTCTATCGTTTTTCTTTAACAGCGTTGTGTCTCGGGGGTGGTGGTCAGGAGTGACTGGCAATAGCTGTTTGTATTCGGTCTTGAGTCGAAGTACTTATCGCCTTCCCGTATCGGGGTGTGATTGCCGCATTATTATTATTACCAGTCATATCAAAATTTGGCAACGTTATGGAATATTAACAACAGTATCCTTTTTGTATATAATAAATTTAGCTACGGAGACAGGATTTCTTGGTCACTGACGCTCTAGTTGTTCACATCACTAGACGAAGCATAAGTGAAGGAAACAATCAGGATAAATGGAAGGAACCTGAAAGAAACAACCTCCATTACCTACCTAGGAAGCATCGTTTCAACTACAGGCGGATGGAACTGACGAGGATATCAAAGCAAGACAAGCTTTCACTACTCTCAAGTCTGTGTGGAGGTCAACAGCACTCAGCATCAAAAATAAGATACGGATTTTCAACTCCAATGTGAAGTCAGTGCCACTCACTATACGGATCAGAGACTTGCACTGCGCGTCATAAAGAGCATCTCAAACAAACTACAGACCTTCATTAACAGTTGTCTTCACTCAATAATCAAGATCAGATGACCAGAAAAGATCAGCAACAGAGATCTCTGGCAATGAGCGAACCAACTGAGCAGGAACCGATTGTGCAAGAAATGTGCAGGAAGAAATGGAGCTAAGTGGATTGGCCATACTCTGAGGAAACAACCCATCAAGTGACATCACTAGACAAGGCCTCGAGTGGAATCCGAAAGGGAAGAGGCGAGTTGGTCGTCCAAGGGTGACTTGGAAGAGGTCATGTGAAGAGATGAAAGCATGTAGGCAGACTTGGAGCCAGGTGAAAACTCTAGCAGAGAACCGAACGCAATGGATACGTTTGGCTGAAGCCCTATGTTCCTCTAGGAATTAAAGGAAACAATAATACATAATATTAAGTGAAGGAAATAATGATTTTCAGTCTTCACGATATATAGAAGTTGCGGACAAAATTAACTGTGCCAATGTCATATCTGTAATGATTAAATTGATTTGAACACAAGAAACCGATCTCTGCGTTCTGCAGTATAGGCGACAAAACTTCGTTGAGAAACACACACTATCGTGAAACATCCTAACACAGGGAAAAGACGATTGTTCTCCAATATTCTGGCGGTTCTATTAAACAACAATAACAACTACATCAAAACTCAAATTCACCTCAACAGTGCCATGAGGCAGCTTGTGCTGTACAGGCAATGTAGGTTTCTAAATATAAAATGAGTACTGTAAGACAAAATTAGTTGGCCAATGTTCAATTTTAAAGTATTCCTTAGAATCGAGGCGAATATTCACAACTACGTTGTGATCAAAATATCTATCGACAAGAATGACACTCACAGACTTCCCGCAGGCAGCCTCAGGTCAGAATGACTTTCATTCGCTCAAAAAACTCATATTGTTAAACATTATTCGGGAAGTTGTATCAGCACCAATGGATTGATTGGCGACGAAATCTCAGCATGAATCCGAAAAGTTCGGGCTGCTTTCGCTAACTTACGCTGTCTCTGGCGTATGCGTGACATCCGACTATCAACCAAGGGACGTGTGGACTGCTCAGCATTTTACTCTATCCTTCTCTATGGCTCTGAAACATGGCCAATACGAGTTGAAGACATGAAAAGGTTGACTGTTTTTGATCATAGATGTCTATGATCTCTTTCTCACGTTAGGTAGTATACTAAGATAAGTAATGTTGACGTTAGGCGTAGAGTGTTGGGCAAAGAGGGAAAATCAATCGAAGAGGCTATAAAGTTACATAGATTGAGATGGCTAGGTCACGTGCTGCGCATGCCTAACCATCGCCTCCCCCTCCCGATGGGCATTACTAGCTGATATACGTGCAGGTTGGAAGAGAGTAAGTGGTGGCCAAACAAAAACATGGCCTCATCAATCCATGAAATCCTTGACAGTTAAACTGAGTCAGGTAGGGAGGGAGATGCAGACTTCCGGGTTGGGGCCCGCCCTCGGGACTCTAAGAATCTATCAGTGGCTGGAGACAATAGGTGACATGGCTCAAAATCGTTGTCAATGGCTTACGCAGATGTATTCAGTCTCTGTAATCTTTCATATTCCTTTCTACCATTACTCATTCTGTTTCACTCTTATACTTGTCAAAACTCTATTGATTCTCTTCACTCATCTTCTTGTCTACGTTTGTGTGCTCTTTGGAACGTGGCAACTCGAAGTGTTGCACTTCGGTGCCAAGTTTTATGTTGAATCCAGACAGAGACAGACATATTGTTAAACAACAACACATTTTCACTGTAAACACAACCACAAAGAGAAGCATTACCACTAAAGACTAAACAAGGACAAAGGCGATGAATAATAAAGGTCAAAAATCAACACGTGATACGCAAACGTTAAATTAATGATACACAGTCGGCGGGAAAAACGTTTACAAATTACAAACTTAGTGTTTAAATATAAGTATAAATATTATAAATAGATCGTCCAAGAGGGATTTTGCAAACAGTTTGTCCATTACAGGACAGGGCATATATATATATATATCTACAGAGATTAGTCATTCGATACATTATCGACAACTGCTATCTTGAAGTGGTGATTCGTGTTGCGTGTCACAATATCCTGATTGGATAGGATTTTTCTGAAGATCGTACACATAAGAAAAGTTGGTTAAGTCATTGTGAAACTAAAAGCAGCCACTGTCATAACGTATATTGTGTACATAATGGTTTGGTGTATGAGAGTGAATTGTCACTTCCAGTCGAGACGAGTGTAATCACAATAAGATGTATGGCCTGACCAACTAGGGAAGTCTTCTATGCTTTTGTCTGATCCTGGAGTATTCGGAAATTCCACAGATTGTACCGTATCCAACTATGGTATGTATGAGCAATTTTTTAAAAAGGCGTTCCTTGATCTGTGATGTTACTCAGAATCAATTTCCCATTTCGTCAGGGGTAAGAGGAAGATATCAGATTCTGCCTTTCAGGCATCCACAAGCGGCCGGTAGCAGCTCACACACACGTTTTTGTGTACTTGCCTTCTGTGTCCCGTTATGCTACACCATCTCCATTCCCTTCTTAGAATTTCATCATCATCATTTAGTTGTCTTTCCTGAGAAGCACACACTACCTCCAACCTCCTGCCCTACATATTTCTCTGTGATTTAATTTGATGCTATAGCACTTTACATGACTATAAAAGGCTTTTGTATTTCTCAGTGAATGAAAAATAAAACGATTTTTTTGTTTTTACTGACGTTTAGCTATTTAGTGCTGCTAGTAGGATTTACAAAATCTCGGCTCATATTATGTAGCAAGCGTAATCATCATTTTTCAGCATGAGATAATTTTATATCGTTGTTGTCAAGTTGGCCAATTGGTTAAGATAACAAAATCATGCATAGATTGTTGGATTTGATAAGCGTATAAAACTATAAAAACAGCATGCGTTTACACAATGAAAATGGCTTATCACATTTGTCTTGATTTCGTCAATTCATGGTGGAGGTGGGGTATGATTTGTTTTGATTTTTAAAAAATTTTTTGATTATGGCTTGAAACCACATAGTATTTTTGGTACAAGTATGGAATTTTCAGCATGTGATATCGGTAGCCCAAATTTTGCAGGCCGACCATTGATATCAGGTGTGCGTCGTTAGGGGATCGAACCCCAGACCATATACCATGGTTGGCGAGAGTCTTAACCGCTGTGCCACGGACGCACAAAGCGTGTGTCGGAGGTGATGTTAGAACCAGGTTAAATTCTGTCTTACTCCACTATTCCTATTCAGATAATATGGATTTCATTTAATATAAAGTGTTTCTGAAATTATTTTGAATGATGATTTTAATATTGTCAAAATCATTTTTGTGGCCTGATTCTATAGCACAGCGTGTCGAATTGTGGCTGATGACTTTTAAAGCTTTTCTAGTTCGACTGGATTACTCCGTGGTCGAATAGAGGTGGCTTTACGGTGTTGATTTCTTTCGATGTTGTTTTTTATCTGGTGATGTTTGTCCGATGTATTTGTTATTTTATAGACACAACTCGATTGTGAACCTTTTGGGATCCGGTCTTCTACATAAATAAGTTTACTTTTTAGTGTGTGCCTGATCTTTTGAAGCGAACTCTGACATTGTACTTATTGAGTACTCTTCTGATATCATCTGAAGTTCCTGCCCTGTGTGGAATGACAACTGTTGAGGATCATGTCTTTTTGAAATACGTTTTCGACCATGTTTAATGTTTGTGTTGACTTTGGTGATGAAGTTCTTTGGGTAGTTATTTTTCTTGAGAATTGCAGTAACGTTTGATATTTCTTCTTCTTTTTCTTTCTCATCTGTTATCGAAGAGTGTGTACCCATCTAAGAAAACTTGGTATATTACTTTTGTTTAATTGTGGCCATGCTCTGAACTACACTTATCTTAGTTATCGTACTTTCTGCTAAATCTATCTACATGGTTGGGGAAGACATTCATGATAGGTATGATCAAGAAAACTGGGCGCAGCAAGAAGTCAGTAGGTCACTCACCAAGCGAAATTATGGTTTGACAGAAACTGTCAGCGCTTGCATGGCTATCCAACCAACTTTTTGTTTGAGAATAGTGTTGCACCAGCAGAATGTTGAATCAGCAGCTGTCTATTAGGGAGGGTTTTCAGAATTCTGTACGAAAACATTTTAAAATACATTTTCGAATGCATACGGAATCACATTGGTAGTGTGAATTCCTTCTAAAAGAAATTCGGAACAATAATTCAAACGATTATTCAAATCACACGAAGAGTGACGCATAATTATCCAAAAACACAGAATACTTCTGTCTGTCTGGATTCAACATACAAATTGGCACCGAAGTGCAGCAGTTCCAGTTGCCACCTTCCAAATAGCACACAAACGTAGACAAGAAAATGAGTGAAGAGAATCAATAGAGTTTTGACAAGTATAAGAGTGAAACAGAATGAGTAATGGTAGAAAGGAATATGAAAGATTACAGAGACTGAATACATCTGCGTAAGCCATTGACAACGATTTTGAGCCATGTCACCTATTGTCTCCAGCCACTGATAGATTCTTAGAGTCCCGAGGGCGGGCCCCAACCCGGAAGTCTGCATCTCCCTCCCTACCTGACTCAGTTTAACTGTCAGGGTTTTAATGGATTGATTGATGCCATGTTTTTGTTTGGCCACCACTTAATCTTTTCCAACCTGCACGTATATCAGCTAGTAATGCCCGTTGGGGTGGGGGAGGCGATGGTTAGGCATGCGCAGCACGTGACCTAGCCATCTCAATCTATGTAACTTTATAGCCTCTTCGATTGATTTTCCCTCTTTGCCCAACACTCTACGTCTAACGTCAACATTACTTACCTTATTATACCACTTAACGCGAGAAAGAGATCGTAGACATCTATGATCGAAAACAGTCAACCTTTTCATGTCTTCAACTCGTCCGTTGGTGCTGATACAACTTCTCAAATAGGTGCTTTTTCCATCTCTTTCGCCTTTGTCACCCACTACTGTTCACTGTCCTTTCGGAGACCGTTAGTCAATTGTGAGGTATCTGCGGCTGAATGCCATGAAAAACATGATCAGTGTGCATCAATAAGAAAAAAACAAACAGCAAAGTTGTGTCAAAGCCGATCCGCGTATAGATTTAAATAACGCACGAATTTCAGACACAGAATTAAGAGATACGAATAAACAATGTTCAATAGTAAAAGGTATATTATTAAGGCCTATACAACACTTAAGGTTTAACTGTAAGAAAATAATTACTGTACATCAAATAGATTACAAATACGTTAAATGAGTTTAACTGCAATAGGAAACAAATTCACAGTTAAGAAGTCACATGCATAACTCCTCATACTTCATACATTTACTCCCCCCGTTTATGAATGTGAATAATGCATGAACAACATTTTGTGCAGACTTACATGGTACCATCATTGTTTATTTTGTTGGTTTCTCATCAGTTACTTACAGCCTAAAGGTATTATCATTAAGTTTATGTATAGAAACGATTTTACCTTGAAATAATGCGGAAGATTTGTAGCTCAGGTGGATGATATTGAATTATTTGTATTCTCTGAGTCGGTTGATTTAATTACGAAGCTTCCGTCCTCCCCCTTCTGGACAACATCTTCAGCGCAGTTAAATCAACCAGCTCAGAGAACACAACTTGTTCAACAATTTTAACTTACTTCCATACTAACACAAGTTTAAACGAAACATCAGTGTGTGCATACAGTACAAACAATTGGAATAATCATACATAATGGAATTCTTAGCGTTACATAATCAAATAAAGGATTGAATGAAAATATCCAGTAACCAGGGCAAAGAAAGACTGATACCCCCTTGTTTCCTGAACCCATAAATCGAATTTCAGGCGTTTGTTGGGGGATTGCTTCAGAAAAATTTGAAGCGAATGAAGCTGTTTCGTCTGGTGATAATTTTGACGGATATTGCGACATCCACTCCGTATTGATGGGATACGTGGCAGAATGGTTCTAATGAAAGTATTTTTTCCCTCGAGACATAAACCTTATGGTACATGTTGAGAAAGTTGGGAGTGTACTCTTGTCTTTATCCTCCCAATGTGACTGCTACCCCAGACACATGTAAATTTGTATGTAAAGTTGGAGTTAACATGATAAGGGTATCTGTCGTCATTTGATTGCACTAAAAAGCATGTTTCTGATAAACTACTACTATTTATTGGTGGTAAGTAGTATACATTTTAACACAAAAGAAAGAATAACAAAGGATAAATAGGACAATGAATTAACATGTTCGTTATCAAGAAGAAAGTAAGCCATTTCATTTGTTTGGTAGTTTAATTGCCGATTAGAATCCACTGGGTAGAGGTAACTATGGTATTAGTATATTGATTTATTTTATTTTATCTTCAAGTTCTGGATATTATCACTCCATTTTTTTTATCAGAATGTTGTTTTTATTAACTTTGCTTCAGTTGACGGAGTCATTTAATCATTTGTTGTTGTTGTTGTTTTTCTCTGTTATATCTACAGTTGGATTATGTTCCACCAACAAGTCGACGTTATGATGCTTTACGTCAAAGTATTCGATCGTTAATGACGAATCCAAGTTGAGCTGTTTGCTTCTAATAGGAAATTATATATATTTGTGAAGTCGTGTTGAATACACTTTTTGTATTCAATGTTATTCATGTGTATACATTTATTCGACCAAATATTGGGGACACTAATCTTACGCTTATTGCATACTTCGTTACTGTATACCAAGTAATTACTCAGTCAACAATCTTTTGATTATATCTACTATTTGTTTACCCCCTAGTCTCTATCCAATTATTTATTGTTATGATGGATGAAATCAAATATCCCGCTTAATCATTCCGCTTAATTTGATTGGTTGGTTAATTCTATGAAATATATAACTCGTTGATTGGTTGATTCACCCAGTCGATTGTTCGTGGCTTCATGAAGAAAAACTCTGCGTGTTGTTTGAGTTTACGTCACTTCCCCTCCCCTACCACCCATAATATTCCCTGTGAAAATTGATCTTTCAATGCAAACGTAAAAAAACATTCCACATTCTGTGTATTTTAGGTTTTTTATGTTTTGTTTATGTTTTTTCACATATTGCCATTTTGGTTTACTTTTTTTAATATATATTTTTATTTTATTCTGTGTCTTATAAACATTACTGAGCATTTAGTTTTTATTTCTTTCAATTTGATGCTTTCCACATTTACACTGCTTGTCGTTGTTAATAATAGCTTTTGTTTTTGTTTATTCTTTATCCTTTGGTAATATTTTCTTTGCATTTTTGTTTAAATCAGTTATCTTAGTATATAAACAATATACACTTGCCATATGATGTAATACGAATAAACGGTATATTCTGTTTGATTCCAAACAATTTTCAATTTTAGTTTAATCCAATGATCTTTTAGGCATCTTTGTTTGCGATTTAAGCGTAATAAAAGAAGTCTGTCTGACTGACTGGTTTCAACAAAGAACCTTGCACAGATGTGCAGCAGTTCAACTTGCCACTCTGCCTCCATGTACCACACAAAGCAAGAGAAGAGGGTAAAGAGAGATAGTAAACAGAAGCGTGAGGGAAAAGGAATAGTAATATGCAAGAAGAACAATAGAGTTTTATTGGATATGACAAATTGTCACAAAGAGTCAATGCATCTGCACCAGCCATTGACAACGATGATGTTGAGCCATATCACCAATTGTCTCCATGCAGTCAACAGGTCTTTACGCCTCTACTTTGCAGCTTGCTTAAACTGACTCTTTTAGATTTCATTGACTGATGAAACATGTTGGTTTTGGTTTGTTTTCCAACCTCACTGATCCTGTGTCAGCTAACACTGTCCATGAAAGAAGACGATGGCTAGACTTTTGGCTGGATTCAACATAGAAATTGGAACCGAAGTGCAGAAGTTCGAGTTGCCACGTTCCAAATAGCACACAAACGTAGACAAGAAGATGAGTGAAGAGAATCAATAGAGTTTTGACAAGTATAAGAGTGAAACAGAATGAGTAATGGTAGAAAGGAATATGAAAGATTACAGAGACTGAATACATCTGCGTAAGCCATTGACAACGATTTTGAGCCATGTCACCTATTGTCTCCAGCCACTGATAGATTCTTAGAGTCCCGAGGGCGGGCCCCAACCCGGAAGTCTGCATCTCCCTCCCTACCTGACTCAGTTTAACTGTCAAGGATTTCATGGATTGATGAGGCCATGTTTTTGTTTGGCCACCACTTACTCTTTTCCAACCTGCACGTATATCAGCTAGTAATGCCCGTTGGGGTGGGGGAGGCGATGGTTAGGCATGCGCAGCACATGACCTAGCCATCTCAATCTATGTAACTTTATAGCCTCTTCGATTGATTTTCCCTCCTTGCTCAACACTCTACGCCTAACGTCAACATTACTTACCTTATTATGCCACCTAACGTGAGAAAGAGATCGTAAACATCTATGATCAAAAACAGTCAACCTTTTCATGTCTTCAACTCGTATTGGCCATGTTTCAGAGCCATACACACGTCCCTTGGTTGATAGCCGGATGTCACGCCTACGCCAGAGACGGTGTAAGTTAGCGAAAGCAGCCCGAGCCTTTTGGATCCGTGCTGAGATTTCGTCACCAATGAATCCGTTGGTGCTGATACAACTTCCCAAATAGGTGAAGTGGTCAACATGTTCTATTGTAACAACAGAAGACAAGGGCCAGGCAACAGAACGTTTATTAAGGAAAATCAACACATATTTATAGATTTTGATGTACATTATTGTAGGTTAATGCTAGTAGAAAATACAGTCTGTTGATTGGTTGTTTCTCAGACAAAGTTGACCTTGCATCTCTTGTGGCTGTGTCAGTTCATCTATATGTTAACTGTATCCGCCTGTCCATCTTGACCTTTGACCTCAATTACTGTCAACCAATTTGGCTAGTAGACATCTCTCACCACACTATCACTTCACTCCGTATCACTAAGCTAGGGAGCAACGGTGTAACAACTGCTGTCTTCTAAACTTCAATTATATTCTGTGACGTCTGAAATTTGGAATTATTTAGTCATAGAAATGAGTAAATGGTAAGCTAACGGTCAGGCAAAGAGGATTTTAGGTTATGCCATGTGAATTCTAGAAGCTGTATGTTTTGTTGCAAAACTTTTAAACTGAATAAATTTGCAAACTTTGTTAAGTTGTTTACTCTTTCCCTACACACCGCATTTGTACACTAAACTTGTTTTTCTACAGAGTAAATTCCCACATGTTGTTATGGAAACATTATTGCGTATGATATCAAACACCGATCAATGTGCCACAACACACCCGCGTCTTCACATTCTACTATGTGCTAAACATTGTCTACAGTCAAATAAGAACAACTTTATATGAAAAAAAAGTAAAAGTGAAGATTTAAAAAAAATTATTGTAAGGGAAATCGAACTTTAAAGCACACGAACCAAAAGTAAGCATAAGTAACCGCGCGAAAAACAATCGCGAGCCAATGTTCAATTAATTATGGCGGCCTGCTTGAATTTTGGCCTACCAAAAATATCATATTACTTAAACTTCCTTTTTGCATCGATTCGCTCCTATATTTTTGTTTTAATCAATCACAAATGTCTTCAAGTCGTATTATTTATAATCGCTTATTTTTAAAATCCTTCCAACCTTGTCGCATTGAGTCATCCTCAAAAATTGAAGAAAAACATCATGGTGGTTTGCAACGTGCATTAAAACGTACGGAAAGTATTCATGTGACTGTCCCCGACATTGTTAACACTAACTGCAGGTCTCTGCCTAACAAAGAGGACTCTCTCTGCAATCTCTAACTTCCTTAAATGTATATCGAAATACTGGTGTTTTAGCTATACAAGAGACTTGACTCCACAAGAAATATGATGATAGTCTAATCTCTGTACATATTCGCAACTATTTCCTTTTATCTTTCCCCTGGTAAATCCACAATTAACGTCATAAGAATCTACGCTCGTATAACTAAATATAAAAATCTTACCTTACTACCATATTTAGCACGGGTTTTGTGTGAAAAGTGAGTGAGATATCAGAAAAGAACTAATAAACTTTTTTAAATCAATAACTGAACTGCAAAGTATAAGTAAAGATTCCTATTGCATGCATCATCTATGATATTAACTATTTATACTTCATTATATCTCCACATACATTCTGTTTATAGGGGTGGTTTCATTATTAATAGTATTATTACTATTGTAAATTCTACGTATCCACATAATTATAAAAGGAGCTAAATTGTTGCAATATGTATAAAAACGCCGAGAATTTCATTCTGTTTAATTAATACAGTTTGGAATATAGTTATTAATATTATTTTTTTCAAAATATATACAATGGCAGATATTCTGTAGGCATTCGTAAAATTAATTTCTGTAAATTTATACTAACAGACTGGTTTCAACATAGAACTTTGCACCGATGTGCAGCAGCACTTCGAGTTGCTGCACTCCTTCCATGTAGTACACAAAGCCAGAGAAGAAAGTAAAAAGAAACAGTAAAAAGAGAAATGAGGCAAAAAGAATTGTGAAATCAAAAAACAATATGGTGTCATTGGGTATTATAAGTCACAAGGAGTGGATGCACCTGTGCCATCATTAAGAACGATTTTGAGCGAGCCATATCACCAGTTGTCACCGGCTAGTGGTTTCTAAAGTTCCGGGGACCCCAACTAGGAAGTCTAAACCTTCCTACGTGAATGGCTTAAACCAACTGTTGTGTATTTCATTGACTGATGAAGCCATGTCGGTTTTGGTTTGACCACCACTGGTTCTTTTCCAACCTGACCCTATGTCAGCTAACATTGCCTATTGTTGAGGAAGGCGATGGCTAGAAATGCATACGTAACACATGTCCTAACCATCTCAATCGATGTAACTTCACAGCCTCATCTATTGATATCCCCTCCTTATCTAGCACTCGATCGGCGCCTAACCTCAATATTACTCAACTTATTATGCCACTTCACATGGGAGATGGAACACTTACACGTGTGATCAAAGACAGCCAGCCAGGCTTTTCATGTCTTCCACTTTCAATGGCCATGTCTTGCTTACAGTGATAAAAGTGGACGGAGGGAACTGCTGCTGTACAGTACACACGTCCTTTGGCCGAGAGCCGACTGGATATCACGTCTAAGCCAGAGACGGTGTAAATAAGCGAATGTGAAACAAGCCTTCTCTATCCGTGCTGAGGTTTCGTCAGCGATCAACCCGTTGAGACTGGCTGATGCAAGTTCCCAAATAAGTGAAGTGGTCAACACGCTCTACCACTTCACTCCGTATTTCTAAGCCAGGATTCAATGTAGTCTAGTCCAATCCTGTAGCATCATCATCTTACACTTGGAGGGAGCGAATCGCATGCGAAACATTCTCAGATTGCAACTCAAGGTTTCCAGAAGACTCTGCTTTATTTTGTCAGCGTCTTCATCTAGGAGCAGGACTATATCATCTGCATATTCTAAGTCAACAAGAATTCTGTAAATGTATTATATAGGTACATGAATTAGTTTTATAAGCATTCAGTTAGAGTTAATGTAGGAGCACTACACTATCAACAACCAAATATTCATTTCCTTAAAATAAAAGATACCTTTTACCTCTCTATCGTTCTGCTTTTTTTGTTCATGCATAACCAGTTCCGTTTACAGTTATTACCTTCATGATTACAAGATCGTTCTTGTTACATAATAAGTAATCTGATTTACGTGATACCGAATCACTTATTCCCTCTTTATCAGGTAAGAATTAAGTGTACTTTTAACCTTATCAAAGCAGAAATTGTATCAAGAATTATTCTGCATTCAATAAGAAGGTTATGCAACAGAAATAAAACAAACTAGCAGTGGAATCCAGGATACGCGTTTCGTCCTGTTTGGGACTCGTCATCTGGATGTACCTGCATTTCCCAGTGAGTGATGATGTTCCCACCGAGGCTCGAACCCTGTTTATGTTTCGATATGTACTACTGATTGATTGATGTAAGTAGTTAAAAGCTACTCACATCAAATGTTTTATTTTGAAAATATTGAAGTTATTAAAAGGTTAACATGAGCCTTAATTGGAAACAGTTTCAAATGGTCAAAATAATAAAAGTAGTGTTAAGTGGGGGAGGGGGATAAGAAGAAAAATATTATTGTACACTGTTATTGTTCACAATGAATGTAATCAGCCTGCATTATTCTGAGTAGTTGAGAATGAAGGCAACTTTGAAGATTGCTGTCTCTTTTAGCTAGTCCAGCTGTGAAACTCATTGAAAAGTGAGACAGTGAAATTGACATTAATCCTGTTTCGTCTGTATAAAACAGAACATGAAACCTGTGTTATCATCAAATATTTATGTGTTTTTGTGGGATTTTTGTGTTGATTGAGTCGGTTGACCTCGTTTTCGTGCATGACCTCTTTCCTTGAATGGATGCTCCGAATTGTAACGACAGAAGACATAGGCCAGGCAACAGATCCTCTATTGAGGAAATCAATAGGTACTTATAGATTTTTATGTTCAATATTATCGGCGGGAAATTAACGTCTACTGATTGATTGTTTTCTTGCTGAAGGTTATTCTGTTAATGCTTTGTGGCCGTGTCTCATTCGCCGAAAAGAGTCTCTTCACTGAACGTCTTCTCTTTCTCACTTTTACTGACTTTGAATTTAAAATCTGGTCATGAGATAAATTTTTTATATTAGTTGGTAAGTTTTATTTATAATGATAATGTATCTGTTAATCGATGGCTGATTCATCTGAGTACCAAGCTCCTAGAAATTCCCTGACACTTCTAGTTCTTCCTGTTTAAAATGTCTACCTTCTCCCAGTCGAAATGGTGGTTGCGATTGTCTGCACTTATCGATTTGGCAGAACACATATCGTCTCTTATCACAGCCAACTTTTGTTCTTGGATCCTAATTCGAAGGGGTCACCTACTTTAACCAGTGTAATGTTTATCGCAGTTCATACAGCTTATTTTGTAAATTGTGTTGATCCTATCTTCTTTTGCTGTTGGATCTTTTGGTATACACAATACTGAAAGAAGTGATTGTGTTGTTGTATATTTTTTATTATTCCTTTACGTTCCCAGTGGAAAATAGGGCTTCAAGCTATACCACTTCACACAGGAGATAGAACGCAGGCACCTATAATCAAAGACAGTTAGCTGGTCTTTTCATGTCTTCCACTCTCAATGGCCAGGTTTCACAGCCATAAAGGAGGACGGAGCGGACTGATGAGCAGTACACACGCCCTTTGGTCGATAGTCTGATATCACGTCTACGTCAGAGACGGCGTAAACTGGCATATGCGAAACTAGCCCTCTGTATTCGTGCTGAGATTTCGTCAGTGATCAACTCGTTGGCGTTGGCTGATACAACTTCCTAAATAAGTGAAGCAGTCAACGTGCTCTACCACTTCAATCCGTATTTCTAAACTAGGAGTCAGTGTAGTCCAGTCCTGTAACAACATCTTACATTTGGAGGGAGCAAATCGCATGCCAAACATACGTAGATTGCAGCTCCAGGTGTTCAGAAGACTTTGCATTTTGTCAGCATCCTCGTCTAGAAGGACTATATCATCTCTGCATATTCTAAGTCAACGAGATTATTCCCTGGTAGCAGGTCAATCCCCCAGTCTCAGAAAGCTCTTTCTTTATCTTGGTCGTAGTACTGTTTTCATTTAATTCTATTTTACCACCTAAATTCATTCCACTTCACTTTATATCCTCCATCTTTATTATTATCCTCATCGTACCGTTTAGTTTTTTATACAACACTTTGTCTGTTTTTAAAATCTTAATAACAATTCACTTATTTAATAATCTTTAAGAGTTCTGCAATTCATCCACTTCAACTCTATCCCCTTAAAACATCCCTGTAATTATCTTTATTCTTATATACGTGCAATATTGACTAATACATTTCTGGTTATGAAAAATAAGAATGAAGTAAAGAACGTCTTTGAAAAGTTCAATAATTCGCATTTATCAATAATCTTCACCTTAGAGAAAGAAAGTAATGATAATATCTCATTTCTGGACGTCTTCCTGGCCAGAATAGAAGATGGTACACTAAGAGGGATTGTGTTTAGGAAACCTACAACAAAAGGTTTGTATACCTTTGAAATATAAACGTAAGTTGGTAAAGGGTCTGGTTCATAAAGCTAGGATAATCTATTCGAACGAGGAACTTAAGATTATTAGAGGATTACTTAGTAAAAATGGTTACCCGGATAACATCACTGAGAAAAATATGAATTTAGCACCATAACAAGCCAGTTGGGTAACAGCTCCAGTTCATCAGTGATAACACCAGCGAATTAGCAACAGAGTATCTGAAGAATGCAGTTAAAACGGCATTCAACGCGGCAGTAAAGGTACACTGTCTCTTCACCACTACTTCAATTTTACATTTGAGAAATAAGGACAAACTACCTAATTTCGCTACCTCGATGTGTATCTACCAGTTTGACTGCCTTTGTGGAGCTAGTTACATTGGTTTTACAATTAGCCAGGTTCATCATCGTATTTTGAAAAACCTCTCTGCATGGTTAAGCAAAGGAAAAACAAGATCTGGTGGCACACCTTGTAGACAGTGAGCGTAAAGTTGGTGTTAATACAGCATTTAAAGTTATTTATCACTTTCCTATTAATCTTAACTTTGCTTCATGAGTTCGTCTTCTAAATACAGCTGAAGCCGTTTAAATCCACCTAAGGGAGCCAAACCTGTGTGTTCAGAAGAAATTCGTACAACTATTTTCCTTACCTTGGCCATTGTTACGCAGATGTAGAAACTATTTTGCCCTCCTCCTGAAACTTTCAAGAATTATAATCGTCAAAATTATTTTATTATTTTTTCTGACTACTTCATCTTTAACTACATGTTATCATTGTCCAAATAATTTTGTTTTCTTTATGGTTATCTGTTACGTAGCGTCGGTGGAGCAGCCAGCCACTCAGGTAGTCCGGTGTTCGATCCATGGTCAATGCACTCGCTAACCGCACTTAGCTAGTAATAAGCCCGGCAAAGAGGAAAGGTTGAGCGTGAGACTAAGAATCCCATCCTGTAAAAATAAGCCCGGTGCTACCGAGACTTTAGAGCTCCTAATGTTCCACTGGGAACGCAAAGGAATAAAAATCAACTCGAACACTTGCTAATTCTTTAATTACTCCTCAGTTGCTCCAAAATTATGCATTATGCAATGCACTTGTTGTAACCATTTCTACCCTTTAATTGTTTGTAATAGTTTTCTTTGTTAATAATCACCCCTCTGACATGTTGATACTGACTAATTATTGTTAACAAACATATCACCACTTGATTGGTAAAATGTTGTGTATTATATTAAAAATTCCTTATTACTATTGTTTCCTTTAGTTCCTAGAGGAACATAGGGCTTCAGTCGAACGTGTCCATTGCGTTCGGCTCTCCACCAACGTTTTCACCCAGCTCCACGTCTGCCTACATGCTTTCATCTCCTCTCCACATGACCTCCTCCAAGTCAACCTTGCACTGACGACCAACTCGCCGCTTCCCTTTCGGGTTCCACTCGAGTGATGACCTGGTGTGTGATGTCAATTGATGGTTTCCTCAGAATATGGCGAATCCTCACCCGTTTCTCCCTGTATATTTGTTGCACAATCGGTTCCTGCTGGTTTGGTTTGCTCCCAGAGATCCCTCTCTGTTGCTGATGTTTTCCAGCCATATGATCTTTAGTGGTATTTAGCGAAGACAGCTGTTGATGTGTGTAGTTTGTTCGAAGTGCCTTTCGTGACGCGGCGTGGCGCCAAGTCTCTGATCCGTATAATAGCACTGACTTCACATTGCAGTTGAAAATCCAGATCTTACTTTTCATGTTGACTGCTACTGAGCTCCACATAGACATGGGAGAAATGAAAACTTGCTTTGCTTTCCCGGTCCTCGCTTTGATATCCTCATCCGCTTCGTCAGCCTGTAGCTGAAACGATGCATCCCAGGTAGGTAGGTAAGGGAGTTTGCTTCTTTTAGATTTCTCCCATTTATGCTGGTTGTTGTCTGTCGTTGTTGTCATTACATATAAATATATATATGTATTAGAATAGAGCCAGAGATGAGGATCTATTTGAAAATATTTATTCTCTTAATCCCTTTGCTTTCTATATATCTAAATGGGGATTTTTTTCTATTCTGAATTTCTAGTGCCAGTCATTACCTTCTACTTCCGTAATAGAAATACGACTATATTATTGCTTGAGAATGAAGTCGTTGGTTACAGGATTTCATCATATACTGACATCGGTTAGAGAACCATTGGAAAACCATCAAGGAGTAATGGACAGGTGTTTCGTCCTAGTGCTTGGGACTCTTCATCAGTAGCCACCCACCCATTGGAGTTCCAACCCAGGACCTGCTGATTACAAGGCAAGTGAGCTCGTGGACCACTAAGCCACTGAACAAAATCTATGTTTTCCTTATGAATTAATGGGTATACTTTGTGATCATACAGACTGCTGCTTAAACATAGCCGCTGACGACCTTATAAGTAGACTAAAATCCGATAAACTATGAGTGTGGGTAGTTCTGAAAGAATAATTCAAAAACCTTTGGCTTTTATATATGGTTATATTTTTTCGATGAAATAAAATAATGAAGTGAGAAAATGAAGAAAAAAGAAATATGAAATGAAGAAAGTACTGAAATATGACTGATATATGTACGAATTTCAATTATCAAATCATCGAAATAGAAGAAGTCAGGATCTCTCAGTGAACAGGCGATGACACACCTTTGTGTGCAATGATACACACACACAAGTAGACACACGAACCAAACATGTAAAACTCAACTTGTTTTCTGTATAATCAAATGTACATGATAAGCATGAATATTGAACATAAGAAAGAAAGATGGATGAATGGGTCGAATGAGTGTCAGTTAGAAACATGTATAAAATAATAAATCAGGTATTAATCCCCTATCAACATCACCATTTTCAATACCATCCCAACTATCGTGGAAATGAAAGATAACAGTTTCATGACTTCTAAGTGATTGACAAGGTGTATCATGCGATGAATAGAGTTGTTTATTCACTTTAGGTCGTCTCTTTTTTGCTGCTGCTGTTGATGATGATGGTGATGATGATAAAGTTTTATTATTATGAGAATGATTGTTTATTCTTTCATTATCTTCTGATGGACAGTGAATAAGGATCTCTGATCGACCAAAGAAACCGATATAAGATGTTGATGAATTAATAGCTGTAGATGAAGTTGACATTGATGCGGCATGCTCAGCGTTTGTTGTACTCAAACTTAAATAGTATCTTCTTCCTTTAATCAACTAAAGAATTTTAAAAAAAATAAGTGGAAATGATTTACTTGGTGAATAATTTCAATTACATAGAAATTTATACGGAATCAGGTAATTGAAACTTAATCCAGTCACTTGGCAGTAGCGTTATGTGCATATGTAGCTCTGATACTGTGGAGGAATAGTTAAATCTTTTGAGAACAATCCTAATAGAAAATGGATGGCATCTCTAAAGAATAGGAGCCCAAACCTAAACCACTTACGAACGCACAAATGACCCTGCCAAGGACAACTTCGACCAATCAGAAGGCTCAAACAAACGGCGCATAATTGTAAAAAATCGTTTATATAAAAGTAATGCAACGTTAAAAAATAGTTACAATGGATAACTTTCTTGTATATGTTGCAAAGAAAGCTCCCAATTTCTGATAGGTGCCTTAATGCTGATGTTAAACCAAGTTCTATACATAAACTCATCAAGATAACTGTATATCATTGGATTTCTAGATCCATTCACCAGTCTAATCCGTTTTCTTAGGTGACTCCAGAAACTTTCGATTGAATTAGTATGAGTTCCATCCAAAGGATTGCGAAAACCGTGTGTGGTTGACTACATGAAGAATATAACCGAGATTTGACAACTGACCGTAAATGCTCCATTCGTCTGTGTGAATAGTGGTCCCAGGCAGTACTGCGATTAAGAATCGCCTGTACACAAACCCATCAATGCAGTTTGTGTACTTTTGTATATGCAGATCACCTCCACACTGACAAATTTTTGACCTTGCTATCATTCCCTTATCCAAACAGTAATCAAAAACAAGATCCGGAGCGAATATACAACGCAAAAGGCGTAGAGCGTCCATAATTACTTATAGGAACAACAGAGTCAGCTTATTGGTTTCTCAAGGTCGTTTCGGTTTGGGCTCCTATTCTTTAGAGTTGCCAAATGGATTTCTGCCACGTTTAATAGACTAGGAGATGCAGTCAAAATCTATGAAATGTGACTTAATGTCCGTAACCAAGAAAATGCTATACATGAACTTTGAATCCAAAGGCAGTTAACTTAGCTGCCGATATCATTAAAAGAAGGTTCTCACAATCCCTGAAAAAGACATTCCCTGCTGCATCCTTGAGAATGGCGTTTTCTAGTCGATCATTACTGTTCAATAACCACCTGAAGGGCAAGATCCCGCATTCAACCAACAATATGTGTGTTTATCAATTCGTCTGTTCGTGTGAAGCTAAGTATATCGGTCGTCCGACTTGTGTTTTGTCCAAGAGAGTGCAAGAACACTATCCAACATGGTTACGAAGAAGTGGAAGTGGAGCCATAAGAAACACAATCACTGAACATCCGGTCAATACTGATCACCCTATCTCTACAGCCTCAGTCTTTAAAGTCAACTCGAAGGCGAAAAGCAATTTGCCCAAATCACTACGTACTGACTCATCCGTATTGCTGAAGCGGCTCTAGCCATCGAAATAGAATAGCCAGATCTGTGTATACAGGAAGTGTTTGTTCAACCCTTCCAACTTTCACGGTTTTAACCCATCTATTCTAAAGTATGATAATTCCTAATCACATTCTGGCTCTACCTAATTTTTGTTTTGTTTACTAAGTTTGAATGCTCTTCCCTAACACATCAACTGTTACAACTACTATTCTCACTTTGAATTGTCCCGGTATTATTTCACTCATCCAACTTGTCATTCTAATTCAGTTTGTTTTGAAACGTTAGATTCCATGATACTAAATTTCAGACGATGTTACGTAGCGTTTTTGTGCTATTCGCCTATTAACCCTATGATTCGACACCCTTTTCCAACATCTATACATCCTATCAATAATTCTGCGCATGACGCTGTTTGTTTTGCCACTTGACATTTAACTATGATTATAATCACAAACATTTTAATTCTAGTTGTATTTCGTACTACTATTATTATTTTCTCACCGGATATAATATCTTAAGCTTTTTAAACCCAACATCCAGACGATTGTCGAATGAATTTTAAAGGGATTCATAAGCAAGACTTTATTCAACTCTTTTAGTCTAATATAGGCTACTGAGCCATTAAGTCGGATCCCAGTGGCTGAATGATCTTTGATCATTTCTGGTACCCGGAAGGTCCTAAGTTTGGACCCTGGCGGTGGGTGCGTACTGTCAATGAGTCTGAAACTAGGGCGAAACATTTGGCTGTCTAGTACTCCCTGGTTTTCAGATCCATAGAATTCTTACTGTATAATTATTATTCATATTGTACATTAGTTGAAACTACAACTTATAACTGAACATATAACGTTTGACGTGAATTTTGTTGCATATTGATATTTAGATCTTAATACCGAATCCAAAATCGATAGAATTTTAAGTTCCGAAGGTTTGTGGGTAGAAATATAAAAATGATGCAGTATTAAACAGCATGCCTTCATCCGTTTCGCCCGTTGTGCAACAGATTAGGATGTCAAAACCAAGTGGGATCGGAAAGGCAACAAAGATATTCATCATTCTGAAATAAGTTTGGTAATCTTATGCAACCAGCGGCATAAAGAACAAGATTCGGATTTTCAACACTAATGTTAAGTCAGTCAGTTCTTCTGTATGGGCTACAAACTTGGCCAACGCTTCACGAAAAACTTTTAAAACACGCCTTTGCAGACTTGTATAAACAGTTGTCCCCACTTAGTACTTCAAATCAGATGATGAGAAAAGATTAGGAAGAAGGAATTGTGTCAACGAATCAACCAAGAGCCTATTGCCCAACAGATATCTACGAGAAAATGAAAATTGATTGGACATATGATGGAGAGATCGTGGAATGACATCGCGCTCAATGCAGGCCAATGCTTGACTAGAACATGAATAGGAAATGACAAGTGATTCGTGCGTGCGAGGATGACTTTGAGGAGATCGTACGAAGAGGAAATGAAAGAGACTATGGGGAATAGTGCAGCCAACTAAAGAGTACCGCAGAAATCAGGACAAAGTAGATATGAGCTGTCGAAGCCCTCATTTACACTCGGAAACCAAGGGATCAATATTAAATAATAATAATAATAACAGGACATTTATATAGGCAAAAAGCACGTCTAATGCACACACCTTTACAGGACAATCGAAGCGTATATCATAAACACGATTAGTACCATCAGATCGTAACTGTTGTTGTTTACTTCCAAGACATTTTGTTGAATGTTTCTTAGGTGATCGATTTGAAGAATTTGCATGAATGGTAGGTGAGTTCATTTCATCTAATCTTGATAATATTGTATTATCCCAAAGACTTGAATATACTTCACGATTATTATTATTATTATTGTTATTATGAATATTATTATTATTAGTTGTAGTAGTATTCATATTATTATTATTATCATTGGTTAAGCGGATAGGTGATATTAAATTGGTGAGATCATTTGTACTTCTTGATGTCTGTGGAATATATACACGATCTGGTGATTGAGATCCAAATGATGATGATGCTAAATCTGTATTCGCTGGTCCATTTCCAGGGGATGATAATAATGGTGCACTACCACTGCCTGTTTTCAATTCAACGTGTACTGTACAAATATCACCTACTTGTGTTGAACCGTATATGCCTACACCAGCAATAAAGACTGTTGTAGATACCTATAATGAATATAAGAAAAAGTATGTTAGACCGTATAAAGAAGTATATATCAATTATCAGCATATCTACAAATTTGGATAAATCGAGAATAACAGTGGTTTATGCAGAATGAGATGGTACCACCATTAACTACTGGTAAGTGATGACTAGCAGTGGAATCCAGGATGCGTACTTCGTCCTATTCAGGACTCGTCATCTGGATGCATCTGCATTCCTCAGTAAGTGATAATGTTCCCACCGAGGCTCGAACCCAGTGCCCCTAGTTTCTCGTGGCCCAAGTAGTCTAGTGGATAATGCTTTGGCATTTGAAACTATTGGCATTGGGTTTTAGCCTCGGTGAGAACATCATCACTCGCTGGGGAATACAGGTACATTCAAATGACGAGTCCCAAATGGGACGAAATACGCGTTGTCCTGGATTCCACTGCAAGTCACCATCCATCAGTTGACTTCTAATTACATGCCCAGACATCGTGGAAGCATCTGCACAAGAAGTCGATAAAACAACTTGAGCCCGAACATTTCTATTCACTCAATCGACGGGAAAATCGAAAATTGAATTAAATGTTATCATCATTGTTTATTTAGTTGGCTTTATATAAAGTTTATATACAGAACAATCTTAACATACTTTCAAATGCTACATGATGTCAGTTGACGGGATACTCCAAAACTAAATAAACAGTACCCAGATATTTTACCGAGGGAGTTCAAGTCTGAACATAAGAATGAAATGTTTGCTTGCAGCGATAAGGCAGTTACATGATGAAGGTGAAAAGTGAATAAGATGATGAATGGTAAGCAAACTTAGTTACAGAGTGGTGAGTTCAACTGAAATCATAGAAACAAGAGACAAGCGAAATTACACCATGTAAAAAGAGGACCAGGGGTTTTCACCAAAGATTACAGGATTAAATGAAAGAGAGAATGAAGACATTCAGTTATCAGGGCAAGGAAAGAGTCATAACCGCTTCTTTCTGAACACATAAATTAGGTTTCCGGAGTTTCCTAGAGACTGCTTCATAAAACTTAAGGAGGGTTGAGTCATTTCGTCCATTGATGAAGTGTCCAGCAGTGGTACTATTGTAAGCGCTTGCTGCTTTAAGACGTAGGCGTTTCAGTATATATATGTTCAGAAAATCGGGAGTGTTCCTTGCTTTCTGTTCTCTCAGTGTAAGTGCTCCCGTAGATACATGTTAATTTGTATACACAGTTGGCGTTAACATGATAAGGGTATCTGTTGACTTTCAATTGTATCAAAAAGCATGTTGTCCGTTAAATGTGAACTGACTTAGCTGCAGGATAGACTCTGGCTACTGAAGTATTCAGTCTTCTGTTGACTATTCCTGCAATATTATTACCTTTATAATCGAGCTGAACGAAGATAGGCCTTTGTCCTCACTGTGATTTGTTTGTTATTTGAGCCTTTACATATTCCGTACTTGTTAATGAATTTCGGGAGGTAACCCTTTTTGTCATCATCTAAAAATAAATCTATTTTTTATAAAGCATTAAGCTAATATTATGGTCCATATCGTGCTTTATACCTGTAATAGGTAGACATCTGTGATGTGTTTTTTTCAGGTTAATGTTGGTTTGCAATATAATGCATGACTTGTGTTTTGCGCTATTTTCGGACTCATCATCTGGACACACACAACTATATATTGACAGTTTGTCAGAGTGCTCTCAGTGCAAATTGAATCCAGGAGGTGACTGGTTTCTTTTATCTCCTTTGTCGTACAAATAGGAGAATTTTGAAAATGTCTAGGTTGGGTGTTAATTCATTATATGCACTGAATGTGTGCTCAGTAAATTCAATCAATGGAGCCATCAATAATCAATTTTCCCCCTTCACCCTCTTATACTAGATTTTAAGATTGTCACTTTGTCCCATCCTATAGTATGACAATGTGTAACTGCATGAAATGCTGAAGTTGAACCTTTCTCTAGATTTCTTATCTTACTGAGATCTACTCGTCTAAATTTAACAAGCATTGTTTGTCCTCTTCGTAATCTAACTGACCCTATCCTACTGCTTTGACCTATTTATTTGACCTTAAGCCTAATGTGAGCTCTTAAATAAGCGAAGTTGTTTTGTTTAATAACTTCCACAGGACCCTTCATCTGACGTAATCTGTTCGTTAGTAAATTTGTGGGACTGAATGAGACTTTTATTCTTGTTCACTTGAACTACTTTTACTGAGGTGGAGTTTCTCAATATTGGGGAACATTGAATAAACAACAGATGGTTTCTTCATTCTAACTGTCGTCCATTTTGGTGGGAGACAATAATGTCCGCCGTGACCTAATCGTAGGCTGTTTAGCACCAAACTCGAGGAAAACGATCAGAAGTATTATTGTGATTTATGCTGATGTTTATTCATAGACTTCGAGCTTAGTAACCCTGCAGTTCTAGTTCAATGTCATTGAAAAAATAAATAAACAACCCCTGAATTTTCAACCTGTTGTTTCTGATATTTTCGAGTTGGTTACCGCACATAGTATTGTGAGTTGCAGCGATTAGTTTTCTAGCTGCAGCTCTAGGCTCAGGATCTCTTACGATCTGGACTATTGACAGTTTCTGATCTTGCTCTTTTGAGAGGCTGTGATGAACTGAAATCCATTTTTTATCTCAGAACTGGTGTTTAACTTTCAATCTTCTCTTTATGCTATAAAAAATATCTGACAATAGACTTATTATACAGTGGAAATTCCTCACCTACACGTTCTCATCCGTAACTAGCCAATCTCTCCGTCATTACTTAACTACTCACTAACAAAACAGTAATATAATCTCATAAATTTGGTTCCCTTGATAAATTCCGATAAAGTAAGAAAGACAAAATCTGCCTTATAAAATGGCATCATGACTGCTGTAATTTCAAATAGTTATCCCATGGAACTTCTGTCTAAGACAAGGAAGCAGATTTTGCAAAGTGCGATCACCAGAAACACCTTGTGGATGGATACACGGGGCATTTCGTTCAGATTTCTAAATGCTTCAAAATATTAAACATACAAAAAAGATAGCAAATTTACTTCAACTTTCTGAAGCATTTGCAAACAAGCGTTTCATACCAAACATATCCATACAGAAAGAGAGTGTAGCCAGCCTTTCATTCCCTTGGTAACCAACTGAATTTGGATTACATTCAGTGGTCGTCCACATTAAGGATTTCAGCTCACTGAGCAAGTTTGCAATCTTATGAAATATAACGTTCTTGAGTTGCTATGTGAAACTACAGGCTAATACTGTTTATTAGATTTTTTCTGTTTTCAATCTTCTCCTCCCTTCCCTCTCTTTTTCTCTTTTGAAAGCATATAAATTAATGGTAACTTAAACTAAAGCCAATTGTAATATGTTAATTTTGTAACGCTTTCTCTACTATTGTCATTCAAACATTGAAATATGTTATTTATAACAATTGTAATTTCAGGTAGTCTACAACAGATGATGAGAACCTGTGAAATAGAATAGTTATATCATTTTATACTGAAGATCTGGTTCATTCTTTCCTTATAGAATTAACACAATCGTTTGCATCTTCATATGCCAGTGGATTCACAAGATAGAATATTTCTCATTCACACTGAAGCTCACTGTTTAAATAAGGTCGAGTTGGAGATTTTTTTGAAGTTCTAGAAACCGAAAAAAGTGGACAGTTTGATTGAAATTGAGGAGTTGAACTGAAATTGTTATTGCGACACTTGAATATTTTTGGCCTAATTTAATAAAATGACAGAGATGGTCATTGTTCAGGATTCATTACTAAGTATGTATTTGCTCAGAGCAATTTCTTAATGTAGATTGAAAATCCCCATTGAGTCATATGAAAAGACATTTCTTAATGGCATAATTAAAGTTGATTACAGTTAAACTACTGACATTTATACGAATGGACATACATTTAATAAAATATAGGTTCACAATAAAGAACTACCTGTCCTAACGAGCCCGATTAAGGATCGTTTCAGGCTTCAACACACTGAAGTGAAAGGCGAGCCTCCATCTGAGGCCACGAGGGTATTTGTGATCACCTTGGTCCTAGTGTCAAGTAGAACGCTCACTATTTCTTCACGTTATACCTCGTTTGATCCTCTCCTGATGTACTCCTAAACCTCTCTAATCCAGTGTTAGTAAGTCCAGTAAAGACGGAAGGTTAGGCTTGAGGCTAGAAACCGCACCCCCGTGAAAATAAACACCACTTCTCCTGAAAATTCGAAGGTGTAGGTAGCTTAAAGCTCTATGTCTCACTCAGAACGCAAAGAAATAAAATAAATTCATTACAAAATACAAGTAAATAATTATTTCGTTTTAATCAGAAATGAATCCTACCGAAAAACTAATTGTATGCCGATGGTTATTTGAAGCAGTCAGCGATAATAAATGTTTCCTAGTACGCGTAAATCTACAACATCTCCATAATTTTGGTCCAGTCCTTGGTTCACGTGGAAATGGTCCAGGATCTGGTGATGAAGCCTGTTGACTGGATGGTGAAAGTTGTCCTGGTTGAATTGGTAATCTCAGCGAGGATGGAACAGCTACATTAGAAAGTGTATCAGTTTCTGTACAATCATTTGAATTATCAGTTTTCTTTATAGCTAATGAGTTCGATCTTCGTGTAGGCGATCTACCGTCTTTATTTTGTGTATTCAATTTATTTGTAGTAATGTATACAAACAAATCACGTACCTATAGAAATTAAACAAACAAATGAACAATTGAACAGTTAGAAACCAATTAAACATTGAAAATGTTTCATTCTTGTTGTAAATTTAAAAAAGCAGCAACTGTCAAATAAGCAGTATTTAACGAATTCACAAATTTCGGCTGGACTTGTCACGTCAATGAATCCTTTGTAAACATTTTTATTCATACGATTTCCTTTTAAGGTCAATCAGCAGTTTGGAGAAAGCATTAAATGAACCCATCAAGCAGCTGGTATATTGCTCATAAACACAACAAAAGGGATAACGTAAGCAACAGGCAAAGATAAGATTTAGATCCTCGCTATATAAATATTTGTCCATCACTTTACATATATTAGTGGAAGCAAATAAATTGAGCCTACGGAAAAATGTCTTTGGAGTTCCGTTGCCGATCCTTGCTGTAGATAGCTTTCTAGTACCCATGATGGCATCCCAAGGAGCTCAGTCATACGAAATGTATTGGACTGTGATCATACGATGACGTACCAGTGCGTTGGTGGCATAGCTGTTAGGACGCTCGCCGACCATGCACATGGTCCGGGGTTCGATACCCGGCCACAGACGCACTCCTTTACCTCGCTTAGTCAGTAATGGAACTGGCAGAGAGGGAAGGTTGCGCATGAGGCTAGCAAACCCATCCTGTAAAATAAACACTGCTACAAAAACTGATATCGTTCCGACGGAGAGAGAGAGAGAAAAAGAGCATCATTATTCGACATCAAGGAGTAATGGAAAGCTGACAGTTAGAGAGTTTTAACTTGAAAATTTCACTTCTATTGTTAACGATGTGTCCGAAGTGTCTGGGACGAGTGTTTGTGAAGTCACGAGAAGTAGTGTTATTAAGATTGTAACTCACTCAACTTACTCAAAACTCTCCCTCTGAATAACACTACGTAACTGAGTACCACAAGGCACTATACTCAGGCCCTCTTATTTATTTTTTATATAAATGAGTTATCTGTGCTCACTGATTCCTTAATGATCCTATACTCAGATGAATTAAAAATTTGGAGGGAGACGAAAGGCGACAGTGATAGTCTCACGTTGCAATAAGCCCTCAAAAAATTGTTAAAGTGCTTCATAGAATGATCGCTTCCGATCAACGTAGCGAAATGTACAATCATGTGCATTTGACACGCAAGCATCAGTCTCTACGGAATAACACTTGCATCAGTTTAAACTCATTTAGATTTAGTTGCCATAGTAATTCACGATTTAAAAATTACAGCACTCTCGCGTTGTGGCTGCAAGTAGTTCCAAAACCTTATGGGTAATTCGCAGAGCCTTTACTAGAATCGCCAGTGATATGTTCACTTCTGTATATACGTCTCTGGTGAGTTCAAGCCTGGAAAGCAGTATCCAAGCAACCAGTCTTTGTCTTAAGAGCAATTCGTATATTCTAGAAAGAGTTAAAAGGAAAATAACACGAATGATTCTTGGAATGACGAACTTATCATAAGAGGAAAGACTAGACAGTTTAAATCTCTTCCACCTGTCATACCATAGGTAGACAGGAGATTTATTAACAATGTTTAAAATTTTAAATAATGACTTTGGACTTGATCTGTACTCTCCTTCCCTTCCCACTAGGTAGGAATACCTCAAAAGACATAGTAGGAGCGTTCGAAAGCCAAGAGGAAACTATAACACTGTGGAGTTGTGGTTCGTACATCGAGTCATCAACTCATGTAACCGACTCTCAGAAGAAGCGTTGTCAGTGCCTTGAATTGACGCATTCAATAAATTTACTAGAAAAAGATCAACACAGTCTTCAAGCCATCTGTCCTCAATTAACAAATCTGAATCTGAATTTAAATGGTTAGTTTTCCGTCATTTTCATATTTCTACCCAGAAATCTTTGGGATTTGAAATTTTTGACGCTTTTAGTTTGAGTATTAAAATGTGGCAAAATTTACTGGTTAAAAATCCCCTTTAAAAATTTCAAGAGAATGGTTACTGAACAAAGACTAGCCACTTCTAATTGTATCTGCCAATTCAGCTGCGCTTGTGCAGCTAGTTATATTGACCACTACACACTAGGAGCGATAGTTCCTTGATTTTTCGTGCTAACTCGGGAACATCTACCATTTTGATTAAGTAAAGGTGTCAATGGACGTGAACATTGAACGTTTGTTTATTGGAACTGGCAGCCATTGGTGGGCAACTGGAAGGCGCGAATGGTCGATCGCTTGCAAGTTGAATGAAAACTGGAGCAAATACGAATAAAAACTTTGTAGTTGTCTTCACTTTAATTGCCAAACAATATAATTTCGTTCAAGGAATACTGGTGTTTTGGATTTAAAGTTGAAGGACATACAAAGTATTTATCGGTTCAATCGCCTACGTCTTCATTACAATAGAAACTTAAGGCTAAGTTCCTTGACAAAAGGTGTAGTGAGAAGCATCAATAGATGAGTATTAGAATATCTGGTTCAAATTGGCCATAAAGCTAATATTGAGGAGTCCTTCTACCGGGTACCAAATAAATTTTCAAAAATATCCAGGTACCGCATACTCCAGACAGCAGAAGCTATCGTGACTCCCCTGAAACAACCAGTGCTCTCTCTGTGCAGAAGAAGCAACTGCAGCCACTATTACTACCCTGGCCTTCAGTCGAAACTATGCATTCATCAAATTGTATTACTATATTTCCTGATTATTCTGATATTCAGTGTATTTTTATGTTGATAATATCGAACTGTAATCCACGGATACCATGACTACTGATTCTATGTTATTTAAACAACATTAATGTTGTTAACAACACTAATACTTTCACTAATATATAGCGGTTAGGACTATCACCGACCATGTACATGGTACGAGGTTCGATCCCCTGCCGACGCACACCTGATATCTATGGTCGGCCTGTTAAATTTGGGCTGCCGATATCGCATGCTGAAAATTTGATACTTGTATCAAAATACTGTGTGGAATCAAGCTATAATAAAGTTAGAAAAATAATATATACATAACCCTAGAACCTGAGGAAGAGCAGGCTGCCGAAAAGAATATTCTTTGTTCAGCAACTGTTCTTTTGACAAAATTTTCGTCCAAAGTTATATGTTCACATAAAAGAGTGATACAATGAAACTATATAATACACAGAAATGTAAAACAGAAGGAATGCTCACATACATAGCAGTGAGAATTCTATGTATCCAAGAGATCCTAATCACGACAGTTTGATAAATGAGCTATTTCATTCATAATTAAGACCTGAACTAAACCGACATTTATCCCTTCATAGTTATTTCGTTAATGAGTTTTAGTTTCTATTCAGTAAGATGTTTATTACAGAGATGCATAAAAGAGAAGACAAGTAGTTTCTCGTGACTGAGTTTCAACCTTAATTCATAAAATGAGGTTATAAACTAATCAAGACGAAAATATACATTCTCCAATGAAGTAATTTCAACAAGAATTGAAAGGTGTTGTGAAGTGTACTTCGTTTTTCTCTACGTTTCATTTTATTTTTGTGTTTTCTGATGATTCAAACAAACTCCACTCAACCATTCATTCTTCGAGTAATCCACAGATAGTGGAGGGGGAGTGGGTGTGGGTGTTGGACAGCATTCTTTCTCACACACTCTCTTTCTTTCTCTAAGTGTTCTTCTTACTATCTCCATACATACAACATACATACATACGTATATATCATTAATCACTGTCATGAAATGGTTAAATGGATATGCAGAGTTCTGCTTGCTTCACAATACACAAACAATAAGTACAATTTTCAATGTACGCTTGCTTATAAATTTGTGTTTTCTAAATTAATTATTTTCTATTTTTCAAATTATAAATCACCGTTGCACTTAATGCGATGAAGAAGCACATGCTAAATTTGCATGTGACTGTAGACTCATAAATATGTAGGTCTGCAGCACTTTTATTTCTGCCGTAAATTTTCTATTTTTTTAAAATTATTTTTGCTCCTCTGCACATCTCTTTTCTTTGCCATATCTTATGTGATCTTTAACTGCTGCCCATTTGTGCAAAGTTCCATTAGAAAAATTCTCTTAAGCTCAGTTGATGTTAAAATAGATTTAAGGGATCTGCTGGCAGGTTGTGCAATCATATATACATTAGGCTAAAAGATACCTAAATGTTGAGAGAGGGTAGAAAATAATTACGGAATTCAAGTTCAAATAATTCGAGTTACAAAAAGCATTTCCAACAGCCATCTGCAGACTCTTTCGATGGCTCCACAAAGAGGATCAGATGACTCGCCAGCTGGAAAAAATTAGCAAAAAAACTCCAGGAATGAACCAATAAAGGACACATTGCCCAATAAGTACACCAATGAAAATGGAAGTGGATCAAAAATACTCTGAGGAGACTGTTAGGTGACATCACAGTCCGAGACGGTAAAAACCAATGGCTGGAGGCAATTGGTGATATGGCTCAAAATCGTTCTCAATGATGGCGCAGATGTATCCATTCCTTGTGACTTATAATACCCAATTAAATCATATTAGTTTTCCGTATTACTAAACTTTTGGCCTCATATCTCTGTTTTGAATCTCTTTTTACTGTATTCTCTTGATTTCTGTGCTAAATGAAGAGTTGTAACTCGAACTGCTGCACATCTATGCATGGTTCTACGTTGGAACTCGAACGAGAAACGACGAGCTGGGCGTGTTTTCGAGGATGAGATGGAGGAGATAATGTGAGGAGGGAATTAAAGCTTATTGCCTAACGTGCGGCCAGCTAAAGAGAACTTTGGAGAATAGGACAAAATGGAGATATAATTTTGAAGCCCCATTTTCCACACGGAACACAAAAGAATAATATACCAATAAATCGTAGGGGTTAGCAACAAGTTTATGAAATACTGATGAATAAGAAGATCACTCAACCTTGTCGGCAGCAATTCATAAGGAAAATACCACTAACATCTGTGGTCTCCTTGAAACAGACTGAATGAATATCAACTTAATAATTACTTGCTGTCATGTAATCTCTAAGAATTTAGTAAGA